GCCTCTGAGCACTAAATGCTGCTGTTGGCTGTGGGACATCTCTGCCTGGGTTATACACTATCAGACTTGAAGGTGGACTATTTATATGTCTGTTTATCATCTGGCTCCCCAACTGGCCTGTGGTCTCAAAGCTGACACGTTATAAATACTGAACTAATGTCTATTGGCCTTGTTCGTCTCTATATCCTTTGAAAACTGAGCAGAATTCACCTTCTCAAGGAGACATTCTTTCACCTTTCTTCTTTAAAAAAAATTTATTTATTTATTTTTGGCTGTGCTGGGTCTTCATTGCTGCATGCAGCCTTTCTCTATTTGTGGCGAGTGCAGACTCCTCTTCCTTGTGCTGTATGGGCTTACCATTTTAGTAGCCCTCACTGGAAGGTGGGCGTGAATTTGCTAAACTGCTAATATGATGATGTCTGAAACTTCTTCCCTCATTTTTAGGAGGATGCATCAATTTCATCAAGTGGACCTACTAATTTATTGTTGTTCAGTCATAAATCACGTCCAACTTTTGGCGACCCCATGGACTGCAACACACCAGGCTTCCCCTGTCCCTCACCATCTCCCAGAGTTTCCCAAAGTTCACGTCATGTCGGTGATGCCATCCAACCATCTCATTCTCTGTTGTCCCCTTCTCCTCCCTACTCTTAATCTTTCCCAGCATCAGAGTCTTTTCCAATGAGTTGGCTCTTCCCATCAGTGGCCAGAGTATTGGAGCTTTGGCTTCAGCATCAGTCCTTCCAATGAATATTCCAGGTTGATTGCCTTTAGGATTGACTGGTTGATCTCCTTTTGACTCAAAAATATTCTCCAGCACCACAATTCAAAGGCGTCAATTCTTTGGCACTCAGTCTTCTTTATGATCCAACTCTCACATCCATACAGCACTGCTGGAAAAACCACTGCTTTGACTATATGGACCTTAACTAATCTCATATTGAAAAGGCTGTGTCCAGACTTTTGCCATGTGGATCAATACTAGAAAGAATATTCTTGCATAGCTCTCATTTCACAGAGATATTGTATTACTTTCATTTTACATTCCTAGCTTCTAGATGTTGCCTAGCACATAATAAGTGCTCAAAAATACTTGTTGAGGGACTTCCCTGGTAGGCCAGTGGCTAAGTCTCCAAGCTTCCAATGCAGGGGACCCAGCTCCAATGCTGGTCACGGAACTAGATCTCACATGACGCAGGTAAGAGTTTAATCCCCCAACTAACTATCCCACATATTGCAGCGAACACTGGTGCAGCTAAATAAATAAATATTAAAAAAAAAAAAACTTCTTGACTACATGGGAGCACAATAAAATGGCCATTTTGTTTGATTCAATCTCAGATTTCTTTTGTGTCTTTGATAATACTCATCAGCTTTCTTCTGAGCCATCAAACGGGAGGGGATTTGGAAATTCTCTGGTGGTTCAGTGGTTAGGATAATGCACTCTCACAGCCAAGAGCCCAGGTTCAATCTTGGTGGGAGCACTAAGACCACACGAGCTGTGTAGCGTTAACAAAAATTAAAAAACAAAAAACAAAAACAGGAGGGAATCTGATGGCTGAGTGTGCTGCTCTTTTAACTGATACCATTTGACTGTGTTTCTGTGTCCTCTCCCATCACAGCTCACAAAAGGATGAAGGGCCAGCATAAAAAAACATCAAGGAAACCAGATAACCTTGTTTATGCTGTTTTAACCAGTGCTGATCTTCACAAATGTGCCTTTTGCTCACCTAGCCCTCGAATACAATTCCAGGTGATATCAAGAGGGGCTAGGACATCAGCAATCAAAATCACACCCGTTTTTTTTTTGTTTTGTTTTTTTCTTTCTGGCCACACCACGAATGGCATGCGGCATCTTAGTTCACCAGCCATGTATGGAACAAGTTCCCCCTGCAGTGGAAGCATGGAGTCTTAACCACTGGACCACGAGGAGAGTTGCCACACCTGAGTCTGAAGTCCACAAAGAAAAAGCAGTAGCGGCAAAGTGACTGAGCCGCATGGGGTGGGTGTGTGAGGCAGAGCCCTCCTCGTCCCAGGAGCAGCTCTGCTGGCAGCACCGGCCACACGGGCTCTGGGGGAAGTAACAGGAGGCCAACGCACCTGGAAGCCCCCCCCCCCCCCCGGGGCCAGCAGGGAGGGGTTTAAGGTGGTTCTTCATTTGTTTCTGCCCACGAACCAACTCAGGAATCTTTCCAAGCTAGGTTTTTTTTTCTCATTCAAAATGAGGCCAGTTTTATTGAGTTCTGTGGGGGGTAAAATACTCTTCCTTCAAAGGGTAAGATGACCAACACAATTATAGGCACTGTTTTTTAAGTTTCTGTTTGTTTGTTTTGCATTCTGTGGGATCTTCATTTCCAAACCAGGGTTGAACTCGGGCCCCTGGCAGTGAAAGCCCAGATTCCTAATGACTGGCCCAGCAGGGAATTCCCAGGCCCTGTTTTAAAATGAACGTGTACCTCCCTGGTGGTCTAGTGGTTAAGAATCCGCTGCCAATTGAAGGGACATGGGGTTCGATCCCTAGTCTGGGTAGATCCCTCAGGCTGCGGAGCAACTAAGCCCAACCACCACAACTGCTGAGCCTGCACTCTCGAGCCAGGGCTCTGCAACAGGAGAAGCCACTGCTATGAGAAAGGAAGAACTTTCTCTAATTTTAACACTGTCTCCAGGAGTAAATCGGAAGTCAATTAAAACGGACTCAAATGCATTCCTTTTTAGAGCTGATTAATACACAGCTTCTTTATCCATGCCTCTGTTGAAGGTCATCTAGGTTACTTCCATGTCCTAGGTATTGTAAATAATGCTGCAATGAACACTGAGGTATATGTGTCTTTTTGGAATTTGCTGTATGATGCAGGGAACCCAAAGCTGGTGCTTTCTGACAATCTAGAGGGGTGGAAAGGGGAGGGAGGTGGGAAGGAGGGTCAAGAGGGAGGGGACAAATGCATTCCTATGGCCGATTCAAGTCAATGTATGGCAGAAACCATCACAATATTGTAAAGTAATTATCCTCTAAATAAAAATAAAAATTTAATCTATAAAAGTTCATTCATTTAAAAAGTGAAAACTTAGCCAAACCTTACTTCTCCATGAGGAAGGACTTATGAATCTGTTTAAAGTTACATATAGTAAGTTTTATGCCACTGTTAACAACTGTAACACGTCAAAACATTGATGGTAGCCATAACAGCAGTATCTAAATCTTTGGGTCTATATATAGTGATAAAAAGTGGAACATACCAAAAAGCTGTCACTCAACACCACTAAATATTAATGACAAGTCTGGCTCTTTGGGTGCTGTTTAAACAGCTGGTAAAGAATCCACCTGCAATGCACGTGACCCGAGTGTGATCCCAGGGTCTGGAAGATGCCCTGGAGAAGGGAATGGCTCCCCACTCCAGTATTCCTGCCTGGAGAATTCCATGGACAGAGGAGATTAGTGGGCTACAGTCCATGGGGTCGCAAACAGTTGGACACGATTAAGTGACTAACACTATTACTTAGAATATGGAAGACTCAACAGTGCTGGCTTTTAAATCTGCTTAAAAGTAAGTTAGATGCAGAGAAACACCACTTAAAATACTATGTAAATTTTCATCATACACACGTAACACAAAAATATTTTCTTTTCAAAAAGATTTTCTCATCATCTTTAATGGGAAACAATGAAATGTCATGGAAACAGTCCAGTAGGGAAATGTTTACCGTTTATCTTTCTAAATCTTATATTTTTCAAACAAAATCTGTTGATAGTCTGCTTCTGCTTTCAAAAGTTGGTCATCATACACATTTGACCCATCTGACGATCTTCGAGAAAACACTTGAAAGGCATCAGATGCCAATTCAGCCTCAACTGGAAAGAAAAGGAAAGAATTATATTCTTCACCTGAAATACTTGAGTTAAGTAAGTATTAGTTACAACAAACCAACAAGAGAACGAAAAAGCCTGAGACCCTTCCTAGTATTCAGAAAAATGAAAGCTATCTATCGGTGGCATGGCGGGAAATACAGATTACCATTCTATAACCTGCTCATGGTCGCACGTGTGGCTGAGCACCAGATTCCTGGTTTCCGCATTCTTCGCTGGTTTACTCAGCAACTGTGTGCAAAGGTGCTGGGACAAGGACTGCAATTATAAGGTGAAGGTGACCCAGGTCCACCCTGGAAAATGATATGCCCTCAACTGGAAAACCAGACAAACAGGCAACTTCCACACAGACTCATAAATGCAAAACAGATATAAAAGACGGCACTGGGACACTCAGAAGGGACAGCCAGCTTCGTGTCAGAACTGCCAGCTTTCTGGTGGAGGTGCTATGGAAGCAGATGCCTGGAGGACCGGAAAAAGTACAGGACACGGAGGGGAGGAGCACGCACAAAGCCCGCAGGTGAGGACGCACAGCTGTGGGATCCTATAGTCTGGCTGGTTAGATGCAGAGCTGAGGGCAGAGGAGGGTGGTAAGGATATAAGGCCACCTACTTTGGCAGGACCCAAACCGATGTGGGTGTTTGGAGCTTTTCCTGAGGGTGAAAGATAAACTGGTGGCAAAGTCAGTGACAGAGAAATTTTAGTCACCCACCAAGTGACTGCTACACACACGTGACTGCTTGAGTCTGGGTTTCCAGCCTTAACTGCTATCAGCGCCTGAGAAGCGGGCGAACGCCACATTTCCTGAGAATACTGTCAGGTGCAGGTGGATCGTTCCACAGGGATGGAGGCAGTAGAAGAAGGAAATTGCCAGAAATAAAAGAAATACATAGACCTTTAGAGATTGTTTTTCAAGCTATGGAACATGATGAATCAATGAGGAAGAAGGATATTTTTCACTATGACTGCTCATACTTTCACATTTTTCATTAGCTATATGTAAGAAAAAGTATTTAAGATAGCAACTGTTATCCAAACAATGGAAAGAGATGCCACTGACTACCATGTGTTTCAGAAATCAATGTCTAAATTTAATTCGTACGTTTTGGCAACATACCTTCTTCTAGTTCTCTAGTTAGACGCCTGTCCAACTCCCGCTGCATCTGAAATACATCAAATATTATTTATGTTTAAGATAAACAAGAGAATTATCATAGGAATTACATATAATTTACATGTGACATTTAAATAATACTTTTACAGACTAGACCTAACTTGAAGATTACTTAAGTAGAAAAATCATCACATAAATAGAAGAAAATGAATTCCTACTTATTTTGCTTTTAGATAACAGAGAACATATATATGGAATGCTATTTAGATTAATCTGAGAAAAAGTATAATAAATACCAGTCTATTGAGTACACATAATTTCAGAGAATTGGGGAATGACCCATAATCCTAGTAATGACCCACAAGATCACTATCTTCTCCTTTAACAGGCCCTGCCCTAAATATGTACTTCTGAGACCTTTATTTTGATTTCTAGGTGAGGATCATGTCATATGGAGGAAGTAGTCTGAAGTCGAATGTTAACAAGGACAACACATCTGCAGTTTTCTTTAAACTTTTCCATTGAGCGAAAACATAGAAAGGCGAGAAAATTATACACAAGAAAACAATGTATCGGCAAGTTTTAATTCTAAAGGTGTTTAGCGAGAAGGATTCTCTCATTAGTGTTAGTTTGCGATCTATGTCCCGTAGAAGGGGAAGGCCCCACGGGGGTCACTGCAGGGGTGAGGAACAGAGAAGCCACAGCTGCACGGTCTCTGGCCACTCCTCTTAAATCACTCTATATTTGTCTCTTTCATATAATACCATTCCACTCAGAAGTTTTTTTTAAAAAGAAAGGTTGTTTTCTTTGGGAAAAAAAAAAAAAAAACTTTTTTAAAGGCATGAGAGTCATTGATTTAGTCAAACTTCCTAATTCTACAAAAGAAGTAATAAGGCCAATGGACTTCTTACTGAGTCTAGAGTCCTATGCCAGCTCCTTCCTCAGATTAAGAAAACGCATATAGATTTTTAACTGTAACATAGAGAAAATGAATATGTAAAACCTTGTTACATAGTTCAATAATGCTTGTGGCATTTAATAAATGTTTTAAATTATATGTCTTAAATGCATGAACAAAAATAAATCAATATGAAACTCCTATTTGTACCGGTCGATATAGTTAATTTGTAAAGCATAAATATTTTTTAAACACAGGACAGGAAACTTAAAAGAGAAAATCTTTAGTTGAATCAAGCAGGCCAAAACTGAAGAGATTCGTCTTAAAAGGATGTTCGTTTCCTCCAGATAAAACCTGGTTTATTAAAATGAATCAGCAAAATGAATTATCCACATTTTGAGTTATTTAAGACACAATTTAACTTTTGCACAACAAAGGAAACTATAAGCAAGGTGAAAAGACAGCCCTCAGATTGGGAGAAAATAATAGCAAATGAAGCAACAGACAAAGGATTAATCTCAAAAATATACAAGCAACTCCTGCAGCTCAATTCCAGAAAAATAAATGACCCAATCAAAAAATGGGCCAAAGAACTAAACAGACATTTCTCCAAGGAAGACATACGGATGGCAAAAAAACCCATGAAAAGATGCTCAACATCACTCATTATCAGAGAAATGCAAATCAAAACCACAATGAGGTACCATTCCACGCCAGTCAGGATGGCTGCTATCCAAAAGTCTACAAGCAATAAATGCTGGAGAGGGTGTGGAGAAAAGGGAACCCTCTTACACTGTTGGTGGGAATGCAAATTAGTACAGCCACTATGGAAAACAGTGTGGAGATTTCTTAAAAAGCTGGAAATAGAACTGCCATATGACCCAGGAATACCACTTCTAGGCATACACACTGAGGAAACCAGATCTGAAAGAGACGCATGCATCCCAATGTTCATCGGAGCACTGTTTATAATAGGCAGGACATGGAAGCAACCTAGATGCCCATCAGCAGACGAATGGATGAGGAAGCTGTGGTACATATACACCGTGGAATATTACTCAGCCATTAAAAGAATTCATTTGAATCAGTTCTAATGAGATGGATGAAACTGGAGCCCATTATACAGAGCGAAGTAAGCCAGAAAGATAAAGACCATTACAGTATACTAACACATATATATGGAATTTAGAAAGACGGTAACGATAACCCTATATGCAAAACAGAAAAAGAGACTCAGATGTATAGAACAGACTTGTGGACTCTGTGGGAGAAGGCGACGGTGGGATGTTTCAAGACAACAGCATCGAAACATGTATATCTAGGGTGAAACAGATCACCAGCCCAGGTTGGATGCATGAGACAAGTACTCGGGCCTGGTGCACTGGGAAGACTCAGAGGGATGGGGTGGAGAGGGAGGTGGGAGGGGGGACCGGGATGGGGAATACATGTAAATCCATGGCTAATTCATTTCAATGTGTGACAAAAACCACTGCAATGTTGTAAAGTAATTAGCCTCCAACTAATAAAAATAAACGGAAAAAAAAAAAACCTACTAAAATAAAAACACACACACAAATAAGATCTCTCTCTACTACTTAGCATACTTCTATCCAAGCTGTCATAATTAATTGGTATATACAAAAAGCATGAGTGTAATCTCAACTATAATCTAAATCTGGTCAGAAATTGCAGTTGAACTTCATTTCCTCAGCCTGAAGTTTCAAGGGGAGCACTTATACTCCTACCCTCCTCATGAGAAGCGAGATTTACCCAACGGGTGAGTTTTGGAGAAGGAACTAAGAAGTGCTTGCTTGGTTCCCAATCTCTTCTTTGAAAAGATGTGTGTGATCACAGCACCATGAACTTGGGTCTGTGGTAGGCAGCCTGCCCCTGGGGTGGGGATTGAGCCTTTGCTTCCTCCTCTTAGGCCTGCGTGGGGCAGTGTCTGACTTGGGATGAAGTGTCTGGAGGCCCACTGTGACTGCACAGCTAAAGCACATCCTCCAGGTTCACGGTACTAAGACCCAACGTAGCCGCAGTGCTGTCGAAGAAACCTTAGATTGCTCTATGGTGGCAAGAAGCCAAATGGGAAAACAGGTTGAGACTGCATTTCACAAGGGCTATTTTTATCTGCACCATAAACATCATGAAAACACCATCAAAACCATAAACCCGTGTGCTCTGACTAAAATGGATATTTTAATCACAACAATTACACAATGAAAACTAGCTGCAATTTAGACTCCCCATCATTGCTCTCAGTCATCAATCATCCAGGTGTTGTTGAGATAGAGACAAAAGTGAGCTTCATTTAAAATTTTTTAATGTTTGCTTTAACTACAAACTTAGAAATATTCTACAGTTGCTCAGAAAATATTTTTTAGAAATTTAAGTAAGAAGGCTATAGGTAAAATAGCGATTAAAGATGCATTCTTGTGTAAGAAAATGACCAAAATGTTGACTGAAAACTAGAAATTAATCTTCTCATATAGTGCTACAAGTTTGTTTAATTCATAAAAAGGATTTATCTAGGATTCCTTCAAATACAAAAACATCCATATATGGTTAGTGTTTAGATGCCAGTCATTTACTTATGCTTAGGGGTAGAAAAACTGCAGTGGGTTCAGCGGAGCTTGGGGATGATAATGAACACTTGCCAAGGTGAAATCAATTAGAAAGGAGGTCAAATATCTGAAAGTATATGTTCGGTTACTAGGCAATAAGATTTCATTTCTAAAGTAGAATTTAAATGTAGCTTTTCAAGAAATTTAAGAAGTTAATAAGTATCTCTTAAAAATAGATATCTCGGACCAAAAAAACCATAAAACTTTTGTCTCCTTGTTAGCACAGTTAATTATGGCTTTTACTGAGTGCACGTAAGTCAAATAAACAGCTCAGAAGTTGAAAATACGAATCATTCATATCAGAAATCCTAAACCCAAGGGAAAAAAGTTAGTAGAACTAAACTTGATCAAGTCAGTCACCATGCTGTTATTTGAAGGGAATGGAATTGAAGCAGAAAATCCTACGTTTGATTCTGGAGAAAGAGTCATATTGAAGTATTGAAATTTCCAATGCAAGGGCGGCTCCAGGACTGGCCTCGTGGTGAGAGTGCTCAGTAAAGATCTGTTCTGCTGTTTCTCCACCTCAAGTTCGGTGCTCATCTCTGCCAGCCTCCAATTAGTCCTGGGGAAGATGGAAAACACCAGTTTTGTTCACGATTCCCTAAAGGATTTGCATTTTGTAAGTTGCCGCACAGTAAATGGAATTCCCATCACACCATGAGAACGCTGAAAGCACACAGCAGACCTGCTGCAAACAGTGACAGCTGTGACCTTGTTCTAAAGAAGCACACGTGTGTCTGGGCTCCTCAGATAACAAGTCACAGCTGGGGGAGGGGAGAACGGGCGTCAGAAAGGGAGGTGGGCTCCCAGTGACACCTGCTGCCTCTGGGACACGCCTGCCCTCAGGAAACAGTTCAGGGATGAAGAAACACACCTCCCACAAAGCCACTTTCAAACATTTGCTTTCACCACCCTTGTATAAATGTTTCACTCATGACCTCGGAAAAATTAAGCACGTGGCTCTGAGGAATCACCTAGAGCCACAATCTCGAGGGAGGATGAGAAAGTCAGTGGGTGAGACTGAAAAGGACTAAAACAGCCCCAGGAACAATTACAAGTATCCCCTGCTTTTCCAAAGTTCATTTTATGTTACTTCACTTCTACGAGGGGCCTACATAGGCATCTGTTTTTCATTAAAAAAAGAAAAAGAAAAAAAAAAAGTCTGAAGAGGGTTTTCGGTTTCATTTAAAAAGGCAAAAAGCTGAAACGGCGTTCAGTGCATGTTTTGACAGCGAGAGGCATCGCGCTCCACAAACAGGGAGACTGGCCCCACCGAGCTCCTTCCCTAGAAGCCACACCCCACATCCCAGCATCAAGTCCCACAGCCCTGAACCCTCTCTGGGAGCACCTGTGCTTCCCTTGTGTGTACTTATTTTAGGCATCGACTAGCAGAACGTGTCCTCGGGTCCCTGCTCCTTTGCTGTATGCTCTCTGGGCTAAGGAAAGGCGTCCTAGGAGTGCTCTGCTTTCAAACGGCACTGCAGGTGGGATCTGCCCCTTCCAGCCTCCAGACCCCCCCTCAGTCGGGTCACCATGCCAGCGTCAGCCACTCTGTGAATTACCCTGCCTTTCACCCCTGTGTGAATATTCCCCAATTTCACAAGCATGCTTTTACACAGTGTAGGAAAACGTACCAGGATGTAGTGTCACTAATTTGTCTTAGGGCACCCCCTTAGCAGTGACTGTCTAGTTAGCTTTCACTGCCTACTAATCTCAAGAACCTGGCTCTATAAAAACTAGGCTTCAGAGACAAATTAATGGACTAAACTTAGTTTGTGATTCTGGGTTTTGACTTACTTGTCTAGCTTGTTTTCCAATGACTTTCTAACTTTTAGTTCTTGTAGGTAGAGTTTCTTATGTTTTTCCAATTCTGCTTGAGAAGTTTCCAGCTTGAAGAGTTCAGATTCCAGCTCTTTAATTCTGAGTTCCATCTGACTTCTTAAGGAAGCAATATGCTCCTCTCGTGCCTGCTCTAAGATTTTTTCAGACGCTGCTTGTATCTAAGTCAAATTTTAAAAGATATATTTCTTTGGTTAATGATTATAACCTGAAATAATTAAATTTGTTCCCTTTAGTTTTGAGTCAGTAATTCAGAGAGTGATTTTAAGTGTGAAAAAAAGAAAAGTGAAACTTTAAAAATAATCATGGTCAATATGAAATGAATTAAATCTGAATTATAAAATTAAAGTGGAATCAATGTTATAGTAGTATTTATGTAACCTGATAATTCAAATAATAAGAGGATCAACTTAAAATTTAAAAAACTGAACAAGACAACTTGAGAATAATTCAAGAGGATGGTACCCGTTCTAAACCACAACACTTTGTTTCCTTCTCATGGTCTTGTTTTATACCAATTGGTCTTCTAAGTAAAAGGATCCTCTGGTCAGAATCATTCTGAAAGATCAACTGAGTGAAAACTGTGATGGAAATTGAAATATTTCTCTCTTCAGGGAGAGACAAGTGCCCCCTTCCTTCCAGAAATCTACCAAACACACTGCTCTAAGGGAAGCAGAGGAAACACATAAGCTGTATATAGCCAATGTAATTTAGAGTGAGGTGAATTCAAGGATATGACAGATCAACAAATTAACCTGTAAAACCATGTTGACTTCTTTTAAGTTCTCTAGTAGATTCTGTCTCACTCTTTCTTCAATCTCCTGTTTATACTGCTCTACTTGACTGTGTTCTGTCGTATTCATTTCTATATGACTTTTGACGTTCACTATCTTTTGCTCCAGATTCTTTTTATTCTTCTCTAGTTCTGCACATTTCTTTTGCATTCCTGTCATGAATAATAACTCCTCTCGAAGAACTTGAATTTTTGCATTCATGTGCAGACACTGTGAACATACAGTTTCCAGCTCTGCTGGAAGATCATCAGTCTGCAAGAATAAAACAAATACCATTTGTTAATGAGGGAAGTGGACTGAACCCAGCCTAACACAAACCAAGGCTCAAATAAATATGATGGTATCTGTATTGTTGGATGTAGGACCAGGAATTACTCAGAGAATCAAGAAAGAAGTTCAAACCACCAAGAGTCACAAGATATATTCTTCACTGTCATCATCTTTGTCACACAACATTTGCACTTGATTTTACACTCTTTTGTTGTTCTATAATAGTACTTTTCTATCTTTCTTCCATGGAATGACTGCAAGTCACCCCTTAGTAGAACGTCTCTTACTCCGTCCCCCCCAACATATCCCATGGTTTTTCAAGAAGTTTGAGGTATACTGTATTGAGTTATCTAAGGCTGAGTTAATAAATGCCTCCCAAAAGAAGATTGTAAGAATAAGGCTCTAATTAATAAATCTTTTAAGTATGGATTTTAATCCAATAAGCCTTTTTCTGAACTAGAAACAGTTTTTGCTAATTTGAATTGCATTCCAGAGAGAAATGATTTGCAAGACTAAAGATATCCCGTCTCCTAAGAGTTTAGTGAGATGATCCATACATTTTTCTGAACAAGAGAAAAATGCCTCTTTCTTGTAATCCTTTGTTACTTTCCACAGAATAAGAGAATATACCAAAGAAAACACACAAAAAATATTTGCTGGAATTTCAGTGACACAGAGTTGGAAAGAACTTTCATTTGGACAGAATGATTACTTGGTAAGTTGAGGTGAGTGGAGCCGGTGGTTTTCAAACATGTCTACAAATTCTTTGACAATTTTCTTGTGAAATTCCCTCTCCTTAAACATGTGCTGGCCTCAGTAACTGATTCTAGTGGACAGAGTCTAGGGGAACTGCTATGTGATTTCTCAAGCTAAATAGCTTCTGACTGGCTCCGTGGGGAAGCCCACTCTTAGCATCAGTCACCAGGCTTTGAAGAAGCCCAGGCCACATACTGAGCACATGTCAGTGTTCCCACTGACTGCCCCCACCTAATGACCCATCTAAAAGCCAGCTCCAACTGCCGGACATGTGCATGGACAGGTCTTCAGATGACTCTGGTCCCCACCTTCACGACATCCCAGCTGATGACGACTGGAGAAGAAATGAGCTGGGCTCACTCGCTGAGCCTTGCCCCAACACAGACTTGTGAACAAAGGAAATGCTGTTTTGAGCCACTAGGCTTTGGGTGATCTCTGATACAATTTGTTAGCAATAAGTTACTGGCACAGATACGGATATTAAAAATGGGGTTCAGTGCAGTTCACTCAGTCATGCCTGACTCTTTGTGACCCCATGGACTGCATCACACCAGGATTCCCTGTCCATCACCAACTCCTGGAGCTTGCTCAAACTCATGTCCATCGAGTCAGTGATGCCCCAAAATGAGGTATTGCCATTAAAAAAGAACTAAAACATGTGAGAATGCTTTTGAACCTGGATGTAGGTGGGACCCGAATGGATACAGAGAAAGAAATGGAAACCCAGAGGGCTTCATGAGTTTGTAAACAGAAGCCTGATGGCCCTTGAAGAGGCTGCCAGTGACAGCTTCTAGGCAAGAGAAGAAAATGACATGAAACATGGGGGAACGGAGACTCTTGCTATGAACCAGCTGAAAGTAAAATCAGTCAGAAGCATAAACTATGAGACCCAAAAAAGGCACTATTAAATATAAAGGAACCACGACTCACTTGGTTCAATATCTGTATCCCCTTTACAGCATCTCCCCCTGTCCAATTGTCACATGATGCAAAAAGACAAATGGCTTCTTGGCTAAGGTCAAGTCTAGGGTGCTAGCAAGGAAATCATGGTCTAACCGTAAAACCTGTAGACTGTAAAACCCCACATTCAGATGCTCAGTCGTGTCCGACTCCCTGCGACCCCATGAACCATAGTATGCCAGGCCTCCCTGTCCATCACCAACTCTCGGAGTCCACCCAAACATGTCCATCAAGTCTGTGATGCCATCTAACCATTTCATCCTCTGTCATCCCCTTCACCTCCTGTCCTCAATCTTTCCCAGAATCAGGGTCTTTTCAAATGAGTCAGCTCTTCACATAAGGTGGCTAAAGTATCGGAGTTTCAGCTTCAGCAGCAGTCCTTCCAATGAACACTCAGGACTGATCTCCTTTAAGATGGACTGGTTGGATCCCCTTGCAGTCCAAGGGACTCTCAAGAGTCTTCTCCAACATCACGGTTCAAAAGCATCAATTCTTCAGTGCTCAGCTTTCTTTATAGTCCAGCTCTCACATCCATACACAACCACTGGAAAAACCATAGCCTTGACTAGACGGACCTTTGTTGGCAGAGTAATGTCTCTGCTTTTTAATATGCTATCTAGGTTGGTCGTAACGTTCCTTCCAAGGAGTAAGCGTCTTTTAATTTCATTGCTGCAGTCACTATCTACAGTGATTTTGGAGCCCAGAAAAATAAAGTCAACCACTGTTTCCACAGTTTCCCCATCTATTTTCCAAGAAGTGATGAGACCAGATGCCATGATCTCAGTATTCTGAATGTTGACCCTGGAAAGACTTAAGGTGGTGCCTCAGATTCCTTTAAGGATCTTAAGAGCCTAAGAATTTTAAAGGCATCATCCTGCAAAGCTTCATAGGAAGCCCAAGGTATGATGCTTCCCTCAAAAAACATTTTTGAGGGTAGCTTTCCCAATGGCATGAACCCCAATCGAATTCACAGGACACCGAAAGCTTTAAAGAGAACCTTGGCAGCAAAAACACCACTTGCTTGCTTGCTTGACCTAACAGAGACCCAGTGTTAGTCGCCCAGTCATGTCTGACACTTTCTGACCCTGTGGACTATGGGAGAAGGGATAGGCTACCCACTCCAGTATTCTTGGGCTTCCCTTGTGGCTCAGCTGGTAAAGAATCCACCTGCAATGCGGGAGACCTGGATTCAGTCCCCGCGCTGGGAAGATCCCCTGGAGAAGGGAAAGGCTATCCACTCCAGTATTCTGGCCTAGAGAATTCCAACGACTGTATTGTCCATGGGGTCTCAAAGAGTCAGACACAACTGAGCACTTTCACTCTCACTTTCTTCAGGGGATCTTCCCAACCCAGGGATCAAACCTGGGTCTTCTGCACTTCAGGCAGATTCTTTACTGTCTGAGACATCTGGGAAGTCCAACCGAGACCAAGACATACAAAATGAGAAGAGGCGTTGGGATTTTCTCAGAAGTTTGATGAAGAGGAACCTGGCTTAGGAAACATGACTCAGCTACAGACAGAGGTCATTTCATGTCAAAAGGACAGTACAGAGCTCAGAGTGTGGGCACAGAAATTTCTTTAAAAAGTATTATTTCTCGTGGGTTCATGAGTGATATGCATTTATAGCCAACACAGTTTATAAAGCTGATGCCAGTCAGGACACACTTCAAAATGAATGACTTTCTTTCAAACACCTTCAAGTAATTTTTCATCATTCTGTCATCTTTCTGGAATTTAAACTGCAAATATTTATTTGTTAAAAATAGGGTATTTTACACATAAAATCAACCATCTGCTGATGTCCATGTGTAGAGTCATCTCTTGTGTTGTTGGAAGAGGGCGTTTGCTATGACCAGTGCATTCTCTTGGCAAAACTCTGTTTGCCTTGCCCTGCTTCATTTTGCACTCCAAGGCCAAACTTGCCTGTCACTCCAGGTATCTCTTGACTTCCTACTTTTGCATTCCAGTCCCCTATGATGAAAAGGACATTTTTTTTTTTTTTGGTGTTAATTCTAGAAGGTCTTGTAGGTCATCATAGAACCGCTCAACTTCAGCTTCTTCAGCATTAGTGGCTGGGGCATTGACTTGGATTACCGTGATGGTAAATGGTTTGCTTGGAAACGAACAGAGATCATTCTGTCATTTTTGAGACTGCACCTTAGTACTGCATGTCAGACTCTTTTGTTGACTATGATGGCTACTCCCTTTCTTCTAAGGGATTCTTGCCCACAGTAGTAGATATAATGGTCATCTGAGTTAAATTCACCCATTCCAGTCCAGTTTGGTTCACTGATTCCTAAAATGTCAATGTTCACTCTTGCCATTTCCTGTTTGACCACTTCCAATTTACCCTGATTCATAGATGTAACATTCCAGATTCCTAGGCAGTACTGTTCTTTACAGCTTCAGATTCTACTTCCATCACCAGTCATATCCACAACTGGGCATTTTTTCATTTTCGCTCCATCTCTTCATTCTTTCTGGAGTTATTTCTCCACTGATCTCCACTAGCATATTGGGCACCTATCAACCCAGGGAGTTCATCTTTCAGCGTCCTAACTTTTTGCCTTTTCACACTGTTCATGGGGTTTTCAAGGCAAGAATACTCAAGTGGTTTGCCATCCCCTTCTCCAGCGGACCACGTTGTGTCAGAACGCTCCAGCATGACCCTTCCATCTTGGGTGGCCCGACATGGCATGGCTCGTAGTTTCATTGAGTTCAACAAGGTTGTGATCCATGTGATCAGTCTGCTTAGTTTTCTGTGATTGTGGTTTTCAGTTTGTCTGCCCTCTGAGGGATGAGGATAGAGACTTATGGAAGCTTCCTGATGGGAGAGACTGACTGTGGGGCCTTATTCTGATGGGCAGGGCCATACTCAGTAAATCTTTCATCCAAGTTTTTGTTGATGAGTGGGCCTGTGTTCTCTCCCTGTTGTTTGGCCTGAGATCAAACTATGGTAGGGGTAATGATGGTAATGGCCACCTCTTTCAAAAGGACTTGTTCATGCACTGCTGTATTCAGTGCCCCTGAACCCCAGCAGGCCACTGTCGACCCACCCCTCTGCAGGAGACACCTGGACACTCACAGGCAAGTCTGGCTCAGTCTCTTGTGGGGACACTGATCCTTTCTCCCGGCTCCTCGTGCACACAAGGTTTTGTTTGTGCCCTCCAAGAGTCTGCACTGGTCATAGCAAAACATCTTCTTCCAACAACACAAGAGATGACTCTACACATGGACATCACCAAGTGGTCAATACCAAAGTCTGACTGATTATATTCTTTGCAGCCAAAGGTGGAGAAACTCGATACAATCAGCAAAAGAAAACAAAAAAAAAGACCAAGAGCTGACTGTGGCTCAGATCATGAACTCCTTATTGCCAAATTCAGACTTAAATTGAACAAAGTACAGAAAGTCACTAGACCATTCAGGTATGACCTAAATCAAATTCCTTATGATTATATAGTGGAAGTGGCAAACAGATTCAAGGGATTAGATATGATAGACAGTGCCTGAAGAACTGTGGACGGAGGTCGGTGACACTGTACAGGAGACAGTGATCAAGACCATCCCCAAGAAAAAGAAATGCAAAAAGGCAAAATGATTGTCTGAGGAGGCCTTGCAAATAGCTGAGAAAAAAAGAGAAGCTAAAGGCAGAGGAGAAAAGAAAAGATACAATCATCTGAATGCAGAGTTCCAGAGAATAGCAAGGAGAGATAAGAAAGCCATCCTCAGTGATCAATGCAAAGAAATAGAGAGAAGCTATAGAACAGGAAAGACTAGAGATCTATTCAAGAAAATTAGCGATACCAAGGGAACATTTCATGCAAAGATGGGCACACAAAGGACAGAAATGGTATGGACCTAACAGGAGCAGAAGATATTAAGAAGAGGTGGCAAGAATACACAGAAGAACTAAACAAAAAAGATCTTCATGACTCAGATAACCAGTATGGTGTGATCACTCACCTAGAGCCAGATATCCTGGATTGCAAAGTCAAATGAGCCTTAGGAAGCATCACTACAATTAAAGCTAGTGGAGGTGATGGAATTCCAGTTGAGTTATTTCAAATCCTAAAAGATGATGTTTTGAAAGTGGTGCACTCAATATGCCAGCAAATCTGGAAAATTCAGCCATGGCCACAGGACTGGAAAAGGCCAGTTTTCATTCTAATCCCAAAGAAAGGCAATGCCAAAGAATGGTCAAACAACTGCACAACTGCACTCATCTCACATGCTAGCAAAGTAATGCTCAAAATTCTCCCAGTGAGGCTTCAACAGTACATTAAATGAGAACGTCCAGATGTACAAGTTGGATTTAGAAAAGGAAGAGGAACTAGAGGTCAAACTGCCAACATCCATCTGTTGGATCACAGAAAAAGCAAGAGAATTACAGAAAAACATCTACTTCTGATTTATTGACTACACCAAAGCCTTTGACTGTGTGGATCATAACAAACTGTGGAAAATTCTTCAAGAGATGGGAATGCCAGACCACCTTACCTGCTTCCTCAGAAACCTGTCTGCAGCTCAAGAAGCAACAGTTAGAATCGAACATGGAACAATGAACTGGTTCCAAATTGGGAAAAGAGTACATCAAGGCTGTATATTGTTATTTGACTTCTATGCAGAGTACATCATGCGAAATGCCAGGCTGGAGGAAGTAAAAGCTGGAATCAAGATATCTGGAAGTAATATAAATAACCTCAGATATGCAGATGACACCACCCTTATGGCAGAAAGTGAAGAGGAACTGAAGAGCTTCTTGATGATAGGCAAAGAGGAAAGTGAAAAATCTGGTTTAAAACTCAGCATTCAAAAAACAAAGATCATGGCATCCAGTCCCACGACTTCATGGCATATAGATGGGGAAACAATGGAAATAATGACAGATTTTATTTTCTTGGACTCCAAAATCACTGCACATGGTGACTGCAGTCATGAATTTAAAAGACCCTCCCTCACTCCTTGGAAGAAAAGCTATGATCAACCTAAACAGCATATTAAAAAGCAGAGACATTACTTTGCCGACAAAGGTCTATCTAGTCAAAGCTATGGTTTTTCCAGTAGTCATGGATGCATGCAAAAGTTGGACCATCAAGATAGCTGAGCACTGAAGAATTCATTCTTTTGAACAGTGGTGTTGGAGAAGACTCTTGAGAGGTCCTTGGACTGCAAGGAGATCAAACCAGTCCATCATAAAGGAAATCAGTCCTGAATATTCATTGGAAGGACTGATGCTGAAGCTGTAGTTCCAATGCAAAGAACTGACTCATTGGGAAAGACCTTGACGCTGAGAGTGATTGAAGGCAGGAGGAGAAGGGGACGACAGAGGATGAGATGGTTGGATGGCATCACCAACTCGATGTACATGACTTTGAGCAAGCTCTGGGCGTTGGTAATGGACAGGGAAGCCTGGTGTGCTGCAGTCCATGGGGCCGCAGAGTCGGACAAAACTGAGCGACTGAACTGAAACATAAAATACTAAATGCTGATGAAATGTTTTTAAAGTGTGGCTATTATATTTTACTTTCTAAAGATGCTCTAAAGTAATTTTCATCAGTGGTTCAAGATATTCCAGGATCAATATCATCTTACTAAAGTAATCTTTGAAAAATTCCCATGCACACCCCAGCTCTTTTTTAAAAAAAAAAAATTCAACAAAGGAAAAATACATTCTTTCAGAAACACTGTTCTATACAGATGTAGTATTCACCTGGTGAAGAGAATGAGCTACAATATTAAAAATGATTCATTCTCAAAAATCTCACAGAAGGGTTAGGATTACAAGAGAAACACAGAATTCTCAATCAGATCATTACTCAAATTTCTAGACTCGAACAGATGTTTGTGTACCAATGTTCAAGGCAGCATTATTAACAATAGCCAGAAAGTGGAAAAACCCCGATTTCATTGGAGAATGAACAAACAGAATATTTTCAATATAAAATGTTGCTTTTGGACTGGATTGTCACAAACTTTTAAATTAAAATCTTACTACAAAAATCATTAACTTTATGAATTCAGTCCATTTCTTCTATAAAGAGTAACTACACTCATCTCACACGCTAGTAAAGTAATGCTCAAAATTCTCCAAGCCAGGCTTCAGCAATACATGAACCATGAACGCCCACATGTTCAAGCTGGTTTTAGAAAAGGCGGAGGAACCAGAGATCAAATTGCCAACATCCGCTGGATCATCGGAAGAGCAAGAGAGTTCCAGAAAAACATCAATTTCTGCTTTATTGACTATGCCAAAGCCTTTGATTGTGTGGATCACAATAAACTGGAAAATTCTGAAAGAGATGGAAATACCAGACCACCTGACCTGCCTCTTGAGAAACCTGTATGCAGGCCAGGAAGCAACAGTTAGAACTGGACATGGAAGAACGGACTGGTTCGAAACAGGAAAAGGAATACATCAAGGCTGTATATTGTCACCCTGCTTGTTTAACTTATATGCAGAGTATATCATGAGAAGCGATAGGCTGGAAGAAGCACAAGCTGGAATCAAGATTGCTGGGAGAAATATCAACAACCTCAGATATGCAGATGACACCACCCATATGACAGAAAGTGAAGAGGAACTAAAAAGCCTCTTGACGAAAGTACAAGAGGAGAGTGCAAATGTTGGCTTAAAGCTCAACATTGAGAAAACTAAGATCATGGCATCTGGTCCCATCACCTCATGGGAAATAGATAGGGAGACAGTTGGAACAGTGTCAGATTTTTTTTTTTTTTGGGGGGGGTGGGTTTCCAAAATCACTGCAGATGCTGTTTGCAGCCATGAAATTAAAAGACACTTACTCCTTGGAAGGAAAGTTATGACCAACCTAGACAGCATATTAAAAAACAGAGACATTACATTGCCAACAAAGGTCCGTCTAGTCAAGGCTATGGCTTTTCCATTGGTCATGTATGGATGTGAGAGTTGGACTCTGAAGAAAGCTGAGCGTCGAAAAGTTGATGCCTTTGAATGGTGGTGTTGGAGAAGACTTTTGAGAGTCCCTTGGACTGCAAAGAGGTCCGACCAGTCAATCCTAAAGGAGATCAGTCCTGGAGGTTCATTGGAAGGACTGATGCTGAAGCTGAAACTCCAATACTTTGGCCACCACATGCGAAGTGTTGACTCAGTGGAAAAGACCCTGATGCTGGGAGGGATTGGGGGCAGGAGGAGAAGGGGGCGACAGAAGATAAGATGGCTGGATGGCATCACGGACTTGATGGGTGTGAACTTGAGTAGACTCCGGGAGTTGGTGATGGACAGGGAGGCCTGGCGTGCTGCAGTTCATGGGATCGCAGAGAGTCGGACACAACTGAGCGACTGAACTGATGCTATTAGTAGCAAACAGTATTAGTAAAATAGCATAAACTTTTTAATCAATGAGACTTTCCACATTGTCCAAAATATTCTTATATATTTCTATTAAAAAAATTGAAATTCTTCCTCAGTATGACAGAAATTAAGAGGTTGACTTACCAATCTTATACTTAAGAGGTTTTTCTGAAGCTGTTCAGTTTCGCCCGCTTGATTTTTGACTGTCGTTTGTAACTCGGCATTTTCAATTTCAAGCCTAAAAATGCAGATTTTAAAACAATGATTCTCACACACAGGGTTTCTTGTTTAAAGATGTTTTTGAATGTGGACCGTTTTTAAAGCCTTTATTGATTTACTGCAATAAAGTAAATCTGGTTAATGTTTTGGTTTTTTGGCTGTGAGGCACGTGGGATCTTAGTTCCCCAACCAGGGATCAAACCCACACATACTGCCTTCGAAGGCATAGTTTTAACCACTGGACTGTCACGGCAGTCCTTCACACACAGATTTTTAAAATACCACACTGTTTCTGAGCAAACACCTGCAGGTTCAATTATGTAGGCTTTTAGAATTTTGAAAAGTAAATGATTTGACAGCTGTACTGTTTTTCTAGTTGTGTTTGGTGGATAATTGGCTTCCTTGGTGGCTCAGACGGTAAAGGATCTGCTAACAATGCAGGAGACCAAGGTTCGATCCCCGAGTCGGGAAGATCCCCTGGACAAGGAAACAGCAAACCACTCCAGGATTCTTGCCTGGAGAATTCCATGGACAGAAGAGCCTTGTGGGCTATGGTCCGTGGAGTCATAAAGAGTCAGACATGACTCAGTGACTAAGACTTTCATTTCTCACTTGTAGATAATGTGCAAAATATGGAAATAATGGGGGAAAATATGCATCTCAAAACAGCTCAAAGCTGAAATGTTACCCAGCTTCACAATGATGTTTTTATTATCATTACTGATCTAATTCTCATATTATACTGTTTATCTGCTTTATACTTAAGTATACTTAAGTATACTTAAGTTTTCTGTGCTGCTTTAAATCATACTTTTGGATGTGATCCTGTGTTTTTTCAGCACATCTCACGGCCTCTGTATGTTGATCCTGTGTTTCTTGAGACTGAAAATAGAAAAAGGAAAAAAACAACTGTTTAATTACTAATAACCTAGTGAATCTGCCAATGTCAGTTTCTGTCTCTCCCATCTGCATACTGCTTATGGCTGCTTTCCTGCCATACAGTAGAGTTGAGTTGTTACAATAAACCCCGTACAGTCCAAAAAGTGAAAATATTTACTGTCTGCCCTTTGTTCGTTACTGACCTCTCCCTTCGGACTCAAACACAAAATCATTCAAGCTTTAGATTAGATTTTCTCAAATAAATACACAAATTTATAAACTGCCCAGATGGACAAAGACAGCAAATTACCTGACGATGAACATATATACATATATTTTTATTCCAAGCTCCATATCAGCCATCACTTTAAGTACCCACATAGGTGAATGACCACGGGTCTTCCAGTGATTATAAAAGCTAGCACTGCTGTTGGTGACAACCAGATGCTTCAGGGACTAGTGTGAGAGGCAGGAACTACCTGGAAGCCAGAATCCATGGGCCTGTGTTCCAATTCCCTCAGTTCTGAGCTGTGAGTCCTGGGGCAAATTACTTAACCTTCTGTATCTCAGGTTCTCCATCCATAACATGGAGATAGTGGCAGCATCAACCTCAGTGGGATGCTGGGAAGATTAAACTGGGGACTATACATAATGTATTTAGAAGAGGACGTGGCAGATACTAAGAGCTGTTTGTAACTGGCGTTATTACAGTCGCTGTATTTTACCTGCAAAACAATTTGATAATTCAGGCAGACGGCATGCCAACAGAAGTGGTCTTCTACACAAGTCACCCTGAAATCCCTCTCCATACCGTTGCAAGGGGCAGTAAGGGGGAGCATGAGGCCCAGAACACATGTCCAGAACTTCAAAACCGTTCACTGACTCCACTAACCAGCTAGTACTCTAGTACTTTTCTCCACTTACAGTAATTTGTAACTTACTTCCTCTCTGTACTACTCAGTGGACAATGACCACAGGTTAATATGCACATAGCACCTCCTGGACAGAGTGTGGTGCAGAACTTACATGACCGTCAGAGGAAGAAGGGTGAAGTCACTGCCATGGAAATATTACCCTACTGCTAAATCAAAGTTCTGAGTCAATTCATTCCCACAGCTGTTAATGTCTAGCAAGCACTCCGGTGAGACAATTCAGGTTACAAGGTACGGATATCAGGGAGGCTATTCCCAGAACTTTACATTTGGCGAAAGGCTAGAAATCTGTAAATCCCACTTCTGCCTACATACCGAAGGAAGGCAAATTTACACTTTTCTCCCAGAGTCAGGGAGAAAAATGAGCTTTTAATTGAGCAGTTCTCCTCTATTAGACTAAGCGCTTTCAATTTTACATTGAGTTGCTAAAAATACATTTTAATAAAAGTTTTACTATACAAACATCTTCAAGAAGAAATAACTGGCATGGCATGAAGTACTTAGTTTTGTCCTAACAATTGTTAAGCTAAACTGTTTTCCATTTATGCAAGACAAGTGCTGTGCCTATCAACAAATATTCCCTGTTAGACCAACGTATACCCAGAGAAGATTCTCCCTCATGAAAACAATTACAACAATGCAAAACTAAGGGCTAGATTGTTCTTCACACACTACATGACAGGGCTGAAGAGAAAAGGCTCAATGAGAGCTGGACAGTCAGGAAAGCTCCATGGAGGAGGAGAGACTGGGCACCAGGTCTGAATAAATGGAGGACTACCCAAGAGGAAAAGAAACTGTGAAGACAGAAAGGACAATCTGAGCAAAGGTCAAGGAAAGGTGAAATCAGCCAGTGAACTCTGAGGACAAAATCCATCCACAGGAAAATAAAAACATGCCCATCCAGAAATGTGTAAACCAATGTTCACAGCAGCATTATTAATAGTCACAAAGTGGGAACAACTCAAATCTCCATCAACTTATGAATGGATAAATATAGCCACGTACTGTTTATTGTTTGACAGTCAACAGAAATGGAAGAACTGATATGTGCTATAACATGGATGAACCGCAAAACAACATCAGATGAGAAAAACTAATCCCAAAGGAGCATACTGCACGATTCCATTTATATAAAACACCCAGAACAGGCATGTCTACAGAGAAAGATATTAGACTGGGGGTTGCCTGGGTCTGAGGGAGATGGGGGGTCATAGGAGGTAGCTAAGGGATGCAGGGTTTCTTTTGGGGTTGTAGAAATGTTCTAAAATTGACTGTGGTCACAGGTGACACCTATCTAGACTAAGAGATACTGAACTACACACTTGGAATGGGTGAATTATATGATATGTGAATTATATCTCAATAGCTTTTTAAAAATCCAAAGGCACCATCTAGATAATCTTCTTAATTCTCTATTTTCGATGTAGGTGTTATACTCCATCTGAGTACCCCATGCTTTTACAATGTATCGAAAAGGAAGAGAAGGCAGTGCCTAACTTCAACTGGTTTGTATAATACACTTTCTGCACAAGTTATTCTGAAATGCACAAAATAAATATATACAGAACTGCACCGCCATTCAGAAAAGTGAAGATGAGAAATGATAATTTTCTGGAACATTCCATTAAACATTATCCTCTGATTTTATCTGGCTTGCCTCATCATGGTAATACAGGGATCATGAAATAAAATATTGTTCAATCGAAGAAAAAGTCTCTCCACAGATGTATAGAACAGACTTTTGGGCTCTATGGGAGAAGGCGAGGGTGGGATGATCTGAGAGAACAGCATGGAAACATGTATATTATCAAGTGTGAAACAGATCGCCAGTCCAGGTTGGACGCATGAGACAAGTGCTCGGGGCTGATGCACTGGGATGACCCAGAGGGATGGGATGGAGAGGGAGGTGGGAGGGGGGTTCAGGAGGGGGAACACATGTAAGTCCATGGATGATTCATGTCAATGTATGGCAAAAACCACTGCTTTGTGGTTTTTGTACTTTACACTGTTTTGTAAAGTAATTGGCCTCCAACTAATAAAAATTTTTAAAAAATAAAGAACTCCAAAAAAAAAAGAAAGAAAAAGAAGTCTCTCAAGTTGTGTGAAGAATGATGCACAATTCTCCACTTTCCTAAGGGTATATAATATACGAAAACAATATATATAATGCAAATGGCAGAATGAAAGTCAGAGTTTAAGAAATGAGTGCACTTAAAGATTTAAAAAAAATTATAGTAAATTACTAGTAATGAAAATAAAAAAGGAAACTGTCCATGAAAAAGAGCGTCCTAAAACACTTTATCGTATGTATTCACTGTCGACACATTCAGTTTCACACATACCTGACTTGTGAGTTGATGTAAGTTCTTTAAATCCCGTGCCTCAACTTCTAACTTCGCATGATAACGTGACATGACCTCCAGGGACGCCTCTGACGCAGACTGCTTTTTGAGGCTATCAGCCAGTTCTTGCCAAAGTTGTCTCACAACTGCCTAATAAGATTCTCTGTCACTGAGTTTATCAAATCACTTTATTATGACGTTGTGTTAGTAATACATAATGCCAACATATGGACTTTGAAAACTATCACCACACACAGCAACTCACCTTCTTTCCCTCCTCCCTGAATGTGGCTGCAGACCCAGAAGGGCCCCCCACCGGCCTTCCTGATATTAAGTTCCTCAGACGAAGGAGGCAGCCCCACTGTCCACGCCCTGCCCCTCCCGATAAATCTGCAGAGCTCCACCACCTCACGTCCAGAATGAAACAGGTGTGTAGGTGGGACAAGCAGTGGAAAATTCCACCCTGTGGAAACATTTTTCCTCTTTCTTTATCAGAGCCTTCAATTAACATCAGAGATCTTCACATATTTAATCCAGTGCTCAGATCTTTCCAACAGATTCCTATCCCAGCAGAAAAATGAGGCCATTCCCTTGGGGCTTATCTATCTGATATCTGGTCGTGTGTCTATGTTAATCCCAGACTCTTAATCTCCCCTTCCTCCCTGCCTCTGCCCTTGGCTCACCACCAGGCCCCACTGCGGAGCACAGGGGGCTCTGCTCAGTGCTCTGCAGTCACCTGCCTGGGAGAGGACCTGGGAGAGAACGGATACGTGTGTAACTGCACCAACGTGCTGTGCACCCGAAACTAACGCAGAAGTATAAACCAACTACACTACAAAAAAAAAAGGAAAAATACAATTTACAAATGAGGTTGCTCCCATGGCCCTCAAGGAGCCTAGATAGCCTGGCCTCCACCTGCCTCTGGACCACAGCCCGTACAGCCCTCTCCCTGACTCACTCCATTATTGCTGCTCTCAAGTCCTGCCACCCTTCATTTTTATTGGGCAATCTGGTATTCAAAGAATAGCAATTGATCCTTAAAACGAGAATTATGAGTAAATTGTTTGTAAACATATTCTAAGTAAATAGCAGTCGGAAGATTAAAACAAGAAGAGCTTGGTTAAAGCTCACCACTTGACTCCCAAATTATGATTTAATAACAAGTATACTTAAATGACTTGTCAATGAATTCTCAATTTAATGACAACTCCTTAAAGAGTTGAGAGGTCATAAGAATAAATGACTCAAGCCTGAAATGTTTTACAAGTTAATTCAAATTTACATGAACAAAATTAAAATTATACCAACAAATATGACAGAAAGGTATGGCAAGCTACTGAAACCAAAGTACTATATATAAGTGATAGCATCTGGGAAACATGGAATTGACTGTCAAGGTAATCCATGTAACTGAAGCTTAATTTCAAAATATTCAGTTTAGGTTTGAGCGTTTCTTTTATCTGCTTCATCATGATACTGACATGTGGTTATATAGAGATTAAAATTATTTTCTGAATAGTAAAAGAGTAAATTACTAATACCTGTCTATATTAAAAATTTAGAATTTAATCTCTTAACATTTCATAAGTGACACGATGTCTCTACTCAAAGTGAAGCATCTCTCGGGCCTAATTTTTATTTGCTGGATACAAGGTGTGCTTTTTAGTCTGTTTTAGAGACCACAGACTCATAGCCTGTGTATTTTTTATATTCAGCTAGATTCAACCTTTAGCCAGAATTAAGAATCACTTTGAATTTCTTTCAGGAAGTCTGAGAATTATTTCTCCTTCTGGATACTTACTTTTCTTTCTGCTTTCTTATTTTCATACTGACACACACTCTCTTCTAAATAACTACATTTGTTGATTAAATCCTTGTTTCTTTCCTCCAGCATCAGACCTTGTTTCTCATGTTCAGCACGAAGATTTTTCATGATCTGCTGAAACTGGTCTTGGATGCTAATGACTGTCTTCTCTTTACTGTCAGCTCTATTTTGTGCATTTTCCAGCTGCTGTCGGAGCAACATGTTTTCACTCTGGAGTTGAGATAACCTCTCCTCTAAGGATTCCTGCTTTCCAAGATATTCCTTCACTTTGCCTTGTTCAATCTGATACATGTGTCCAGTATCCTGCTTTTGATGCTCTGCTTGGAGTAAGTCTCTCTGGACAGGTTCTAACATCAAAGTCTTTTCTCCGAGATCATCTCTCATCTGATGCAGCTTGATTTTTAGCGTATTGAATTGACTTTCCACTTTAGAAAGTCCCTGGGAAAGCATCTCATTGTCACTTTTCAGCTTAGCCATATCGAACTTCATTGGGTCCTGCAAGCGTAACGTCTTGTCTTTTGCTTTCTGGGAGGCAAGTGACAGGTTTCTTTGTGATATCTGACCTTGATCACGATTGTGTATGGCAGCAGCCAGTCTAGAGTGGTAGGATTCCACTTCTGTTTCCAGTCTTTCTTTGCTTCGCTTTGCATTCTCCAGCTCAGGGTTTAGCATTGTATTTTCAGCTACCGGAATGGTAAGCTGGCCAGGATGCTGGAATATGGCCTTTGTCAACATTTCCTTGTTCAATTTTATTGCCTTTTGAGGATAATCATTCTCTCCTTTTACAATTTCAGTACCCTCAAAACATTTCTTTTCTTTCTCCTGGTTCTGATTTTTCCCTGTGTCTATTTCTAATCTTGGCATGGCAATTTCATCCTGCATGTGGCTTTTGCGCAACAGACCTTTTGCCTTTCTACCACTATCAGAAACCTAAGTGAGACAAAGGAGACTTTGAGTTAGTACTCACTAAAATGACATTTCACCATTTCCTCTGAAATGAAAGACTAACCTGTATGTTTATACAATGAAAAGACTGCACCAAGTGGATATCCAAATGGAAAAAATAAGGTTCAGTACAAACCTCAGACCTTATACAAGCAGAAATTCCCAAAGGTTCAAACATTTAATTGAAGACAATGAATCCATGAAAGGACAGAGAAAGCCCAAGAGACTTTTGGAGCTCAGAACTGGAAAGGGTTTCTCTGAATTACAACATACCCAGAAAGCTTAAAATAAAAGATTTATAGATCTAACTACACCTAAAAATTGCATCTGATGTGGTATATTTATATAATGGAAAACTACAAAGCCATAAAAAGAATGAAATAATGCTATTTGCAGCAACAAAGATGGACCTAGGCATGATCACACTAAGCGACGTAAGTCAGACAAAGACAAGTCATACTGCTTATATGTGCAATCTAAAATGAACTTATTGACAATCCAGAAAGAGACCCACCGACGTAGGAGACAAACTTACTCACCATACGGGAAAGGGGGTAGGGAAGGGATAAATTAGGAGGTTGGGTTTAACATATACCATTATATATAGACAAGTGTATATAAAATAACCAGTAAGGATCTACTGTACAACATAAGGAATTACATTTAATATTCTCCAGGAAGAATCTGACAAGCAATATGTGTGTGTGTTTGTGTGTGTGTTAGTCAGTCATGTCCAACTCTTTACGACCCCACAGACTGAGCCCGCCAGGCTCCCCTGTCCATGGGATTCTCCAGGCAAGAATGCTGGAGTGGGTTGCCATTTCCTCCTCCAGGGGATCTTCCCGACCCAAGGATTGAACCCAGGTCTCCTGCATTGCAGGGGGATTCTTTACAGTCTGAGCCAGCAGGGAAGCCCCATTTACATAATATACACACGCATATACATATATGTCTGAATCACTGTGCTGTACACCTGAAACTGATGCAATATTGTAAATCAACTACAATCCCATAACACCACCACTCGCTCCCTTTAAAACTGCATCTGATAGCTCCTACACAGCTACTTCAAGTAAGAGCCTTAGCTCTGTACATATTTAAATAGATGAAATTTCATGCAAAAATTGTTTTCTTGAGAATATGCTACCTTTCTAACATTTTAAAAGGCAATTACAAGGCTTATACCTATTGACAACTGCGCTAAGCACTTCTACAAACATCAATTACCTCATTAGCGATAATGATTCTGGAAAGGAAGAAGTTAAAACTATGTAAGTAAGCTGCAGGCTTTTCACCAGGTCTTCTGACTCCACTAGTCCTCTTACATCAAACCACAGTCACTTCTCTAGTACAAACACATCAATACAAAATACTCATCCTATTTCATTCATGGTATATACACTAATGGTAAATAAGGTAAAATTTAGAGAGCTCTTCTTAGAGAATCATGAGATTGTTTTCTGCTGCAGGAACTCTCATTATATCTTCATACTGTTTAAAACAGTAAGATGGGGGAATACAATGAGAAACATAATTATCACTAGATGTATACTATGGCATATCTATCACTGTTTTCAAAAGTTCCTTGTACTGAAGGAGGACACTACACAGAATGAGGGTTCGTTTTCTCAGAAGTACAAGAATGACTTCCAAAGTATGGCCTCTGAACTGCCTCTACTTTTCCTCCTTACCTTCAGTGGAAGTGATAAATTAACCTAATGATCAAGGAAGGGAAATCACTACTATAAACCAGAATAGCTGCTGTTAAGAGCAAGAGTTTTTTTTTTTTTTTTTTACTTTTTTTCCTTGGTGGGAGGGGGACTTTTATAAGTTTATTCCAAAGAAACATTTTTTTAAAGTGTACAAAAGTATTTTTACAACTGATGCTGCAGCTTTTACAAACTGAAAAACTGTAAACGATGTGAAAAAGCCGTTGACAGGGCACTGGTTACAGAAACGAGAGTGGAGCCAGGGGCGGACTCTGACTGAGACACCGGAGATGATGCGGGCGAGGAGGGACGCACACGTTCCCCGCAGAGCACAAGGGCATGGTGTGCAGCGCAGTCGACGGGGGAGCATACGCGCTCTGCCTGGCCTAAGCCGCAGTCAGGGTCCCGGCTCCTTCGAGACAGTCGCAAAAATTTTGAGATTAATTCCTATGGAAAATATTGAAGGCCTCTCCTTGGATGAGGCCATGGTGTGTCCCTACCTGACCGCTGTAGACAAATGGATTTGAATTACAAATGCTACTTTCCCCAGCTCTTCCCGAAAGCTTTTCGCTGTGGGAGATCTGCGGCTAGGACCTGGGGGATGAGACCTGGTCCGTGTTTGAGAGGGACATTGGGTGGGGGAGTGAGTTCCTCTGCTCTGAGATGCCACTCGAGAGCTCTGCAGAAAGAAGGACAATCAACTTCAAGAGTGTCTGGTATCTACCAACTGCTGGAAAAAATCCACGGGGAGCATTCCTGCATCTCGCGATGATGCCTGTTAAACACACTTGTCCTTGAGGACTCGACTGTGAGGGAGAACCCAGCTGGGAAAGCTGGAGCCAGCTCTGAGCTGTTCACGGGGCAGGTGGACTGAGGGCAGACGGGCACAGAGGGAGGGGGTCCACGACCCTCAGCCACCTGCCAGATGGCAATGGGGAAGTTTTAGAGTAAAGCATGTCGCCAGCCTCGGATGACTGAGTTTCAGATGACTGAGTTAAGTCATCAAGGTCATTCATGTAATCAATTTGACTGAGTTAAGTCATCAAGGTCACTCACGTAATCAATTTGGTCTTTGACCTACACATAAATAATACTGTTTCACAATGTCCTTAAAATATGTATAAAATATACCAAGTTTACAAAGGTGATAAATATCTTAATCAAAGCAAAAGAAGAGGCTTCTTAAAAGAACAGGTTTTTATCAACAGGATAACTTTATCAACAGAGTTTCTAAGTTATGTTTTCAAAGTAAATGTCTCTTCAACAAAGGAAGATTTTCTATGTTGCCACTATCCCTTTTACAAACTATTTTATAGAAGATTATATATTTTAAAGTTAATTTTTTTTTTTTACTTTACCTTCTTCTTTTCATATGCTGTTTCCCTTGCAGGCCTAAAAAAAAAAAAAAAAAGATTCTTTTCAGGCTAAAATTTGATAACTCAAAAATATAAACAATACTTAAATGTTTGATTTTTATATAACATCTTTGCATTCATAAGTAATTTTTATAAAAGGATGAAACAATAAAAAAAAGAGCTGCATTAAAGGACAAAGAAAATATATCTATAATAGTAATGAAACATTAAATTTAGATTAATGGAAAAGGAAAAACCTAACATTACTTGCGTTATGTGACGGAAGCAGTTTACCGGGGCTTTTTGCAGTTGTCCTTTTTAATAAGAACTAACTTTTATGGCAATAAAACCTATCTCCAAAGTATTCCCTAAGTCCTTATAAAAAAGAAACCCATTTTTTTTATCACCAGGATATTAGCTTTTTGAGGGCTTATTATGCAACGGCTATGCATATTATGCATTTTAATGCTCACGATCATTCTGGGAGAGAGGTAATATATTAGATCCTTTATATAGGAAGAGATGGAGCAAAGAAAGGCTGAGGAATGTGCCCAGGACCACACAGAAGTTCACCAACAGCCCAGAATTCAAACCCAGGAAATCTGGCCTGAATGCTGCTGCTCCAAAATATTCTGAGAAAGTGATATTGAAAAGTCTTTTTAAGTAATATGATACCAAGTGAATCTCTATTATTATTTCATGTCTAGCTATAACTACAAATGATAATTCTGAATCTTAAAACATTTCTAAGAAACAAAAAGACTAGATGTAGGCAATATTGGAAATCTACTTTCAATAAAGATTTGTTTTTTGTAAAGAAATTCATCAATACACGTTCGTGCAGCCATTCTGCTGTTTCTTCATGCATCTGACATGCACTTATGGAGCACATAATATGTGTTAACGACACTTTAGTACAGGAAGCATGGCTTTTGTCATTTAGATCTTTATCATCCAAAGTAATAAACTGTAAAAGATTGTGAATTGTTTCTATTGAAAATATACAAAATCCTCCCCTTTTCCCTGCAAGCTATAAACAACTATGAAGTTAATATAATGTGATGTTTCAGAGTACCTTACAATATCATAGCTACCCACGATGATACTATCAACTAGAATCAACAAGAAATGATTAAATCCTATTCAGTATAACCTAAGTATTTGTAAATTCATGATTATATAATTTTTTAAAATCTATGTATGATAGAATTAACTTAAGTAATCATCTACATATTCATTGACATAAGAATATTACACTTCAGAGCCAATGAGCAAGCCCTTACCAAGAACTACATATGAACAGAAGTACATATGTACATAATGATCATGTACAATAATAATGTACAATTAATTTATTGTAATAGTTTAAAGATAATGTCATACAATCAATAAGCTTTCTAATATTGGGAATGCAGGTAAGATTAAACTCAATAGACACTTCCTCCGCTGGCTCATTTCCAACAGCATACATATCTACAAGCTCCTCTCTGAACATGAAACAAGAAACTCCTTTCAACTCCACATTGCTCTTCAGTTACCATCCAGGCCTCCATTCCTGGCCCAGGATATATTCCCTACGGAGCTGTTTACTTGTGTTCACTGCAGTCCAGCTTCCAAGTGGACTATTCACTGAAACGACTTCCGGCCAAAGGCTCGGATCCTCTCCTTCACCTTTCTGCCATGTTCATCCAGTAGAGTTGAGGATTCTCTTCTCTTGGCCTGTATGCTATATTATGCTGCTCTATTTCCAGAAGAAGTATTCAGGGCTAATATTTCTTCCCCTAGAAATAAAGAATTTGTCCATGTTACCTGCTGTCATCTTGATACACTTTCCTTAAAATGCTGTCATCCTTCACGTGCAGCAGCCCATCAGTCAGTGAATTGGTCTTTTCAAATACTGGTACAATCACACATTCTTCTGGTGTCCATTTGTCATTTTTCTTTTTCTCTATCTCCTTCCTGGGCATGCCAGGATCGCTACTTTTAAAAAAATCCACAAAAAAAGCCAATGTTTTCAAGTAATTCGACTAATAAAGAATAAAAAAACAATTCTTGCAAAATTCCAACTCTTACCCGTCTGAAATCATTGATTAGTTCACAAAACAGTTATGAAGTATCAACCATACGCAAGAAAACAAATTCTTCCTTCAAACACAGACACACAATTATGATACAATATGATATGTAAGAGTTGACATATGAAAGTGATAAGTGAACTAAGGAAGGCTTTATGGAAGAAGTGAAGAGAGGAGGTCAAAAGGAAGAGAAGAGCAAGAAATCATTCTACTGGGAGATTAGAATGTGAGTACACAGATCAGGCACATGGCATCTGGGGTTGTTTCCTAGAAACCTGGAAGGAAAACTACAAAACACATGAAAGAAAGTAGAGAGATGCACCTGGAAAGACATTGGGAAGAACCTCAAGGGCTACACTGAAAACCTTGAGTCCACTGGCTAAGCACAATGATTCTTAGACATGGGAGTCATGATTAGATTTACACTGTATATAAATAATTCTTTGCTTTTAAAAACAGTAATGTTTGACCTAGGAATTTCCCTGGTACTCCAGTGCTTAGGAATCTGCCTGCTCATGCAGGGGGCACAGGTTCGATCCATGGTCAGGGAAGACAGCACATGCCTCATGCAGAGCAATGAATAATGTGCTCCACAACCACTGAAGCCAGCACCCTAGAGCCCACGCTCAGCATCAAGAGAAGCCACCACAATGAGAAGCCCAAGCACTGCGGCTGCAAAGAACCAGCGCAGCCAAATAAATTACAAAAAAAAAAAAAAAAACCTCAAAGAAAAAAGTAACACTTAATTTAGATGATTTTTAAAATGGCATGTGGCACATCCACCGTGAAAGAAGAAATCAAATTTAGCGGGGCGGGGGGCAGTTTACTTGTAAACCACCCACATGATGGGGTGACATCAGCATCATGGATGAAAGGCAGGTGCCTCATCAGTTCTCCTGCCACCAACAGCAATTTGGCCTCCATCCATGGACATACTCAAAGTGCTAGGAGGAGAAAACTGCCAACCAAGAGGACTCGATCCAGAAAAGTTGTCTTTAAGAAATGAAGGAGAAACAAAAGCTTTCCCAGACAAAGCAAACCTGAGGGAGTTCATCACCACTAGTCTCGCCTCATAAGAAATGCTGAAAGAAGTCCTCAAACTGAAATGAAAGGATGTTCATTAGTGACATAAAATAAATTTAAATATACAACACACTGGTTAAGGCAAGTATGCAGTCAAGTCCAGAATACTCTATTATGTAACATGGTGGTACATTAACAAAGCAACTAGTATGAAGGCTAAAGGATAAGAGTGTTCAAAATAACTATACCCCTAGTAAAATATAAAATTCGTAAATCACAAACATTAGCTCAAGTTAGAAATCATTTTACCGGAAAATAACAAATGGCCTACTGTTAGATATTGATATAGGCTTACCCATCGGAACCTTTATTCTCCATAGCAGGAAACTCCTGCTTGTTATTTCCTCCACTCTTTCTCTGCTGAATCAATTGACTCTCATCAGCAGCATCGCATACGTGGTCTGATACTTCCACTTCTCTACTTTTGTGCCTCTTTTCTTCTTCAACCTTTAATGAAAGTTTGACACTAAGAATAATTGCTATTACTTAATTCTAAAGACTCTGTTTTCAATTTATTATTTGACTCAGCATTTGCCCGGGTTTTAAGTGATAAAAATATTTTTGTGCTTACATTAATTTTATCACAAGTCACTGAAAGTGTTGTAAAATGTGCTTCTTTCTCTTTGAGGGAAAGAAACAAAATTCCCAAAATTTCAAGAATGGCTTTCTTAATAAGATACAATTATTCACATCCAGTCTTCCCCATCTGACTGGCAGAGATAGAGAAATAAAAACACACCACATATGTCCTCTTCAGTCTTTACCACCTGGATTTTCCATTGAACAGTCAGATGTAGAGGATGTGACACCTTAGTGCCTCAGAAACAGAAAAGAAGCTTTCTTCTTTCTGCACTAAAGCTATTCTTTCCCCACTGCCTTTTCCAATTCTTTTTTCATTTGGATCCAGGAGATAGCAAAAAACCTGATGGTGTTCACTGAAATATATGACCCAAAGTTTACCAAAACACAAGGAGCAGGATGAAACTGAGGAGGTGTTAGTTAGTGTGGAATTCTGGAATATAAGGAATGCTTCCCAATTCCACATTCAATAACCATCCAATTTTATAGTTAGAGTGTATAGAAATACCTATCTATCTTTGCCCCACTATTTACCAATAACAGCTTTAAAATCAAAAAGGGTAAATGAGTTGTTCAAAGCCCCTAAAGTGGCATTCCCTAACATTTTATGGCACCAAAAGAGATGATACAATTCTGTCATCTTGAATCTGATAAAATTACCAAATGAATTCCTCAAATGAATCAGGTAAGTTCAAAGCGTGACTTTGGCAAAGTAATTTAATTCATTAATTGGGGGTAGGGTTCATTCTCCTTTTTCTTTAAAGGAGAATAGCTACATTTTTCTCTTTTTTTTGGTCTTACACAGAAGAGCAAGCACGTTTAAAAACGTACTACTGAAGAAAGAAAAATCTCACAGCATCTCAAATCTCAGTTTTTCCTTTGGCGATAAACACTTGATTTTTTTCTTTTTTCTTTTTTTTTTTTTTTTTTTTGCTGAGAGTTTATACTATCTATGGGCTTCCCTGGTGGCTCAGAGGTTAAAGAATCTGCTTTCAATGCAGGAGACCTGGCTTCAATCCCTGGGTTGGGAAGATCCCGTGGAGAAGGGAATGGCTATCCACTCCAATGATATTCTGGCCTGGAGAAATCCGTGGACAGGGCAGCCTGGCCAGCTACAGTCCATGGGGTCACAAAGAGTCAGACACGACTGACCAACTCTCACACACGCACATACTACCTATGTGACAAAATCACACATGTCAAAACTTACTACATTTTAGTAAACAACATTGTGAAGCAGTCTCTCTCAAAAGAGACATCTGAGAGTGGTGATTAAAGCATAGGTGGGAGTGCATGTATTTGTTATTAAAAACATCCTGAGGTGGCCATGTTGGAAATCTAAGTGCCCAGGGACTGGGGAAAGCAGAGAAGATCACACATATTCAATCACAATGAAGAGATTAGAGGGAACACATGTTCATGCCCCTTCTCTGTTTCTGCTTTCTTCCCATTCTGTGGAAATACAACTTACATTTTATCCAACAGAGTGAAAAAAAAAAAAAACCAACAACAAATGCAAAACCTTAGTTGATCATACTCCTTAAACACTTTCCTTGGTGCTTATTCTGGCTCAGAAGGTCACATGATATGGAGCTAAATGAGTTTCCCAGTCCATATGAAAGACTGACAGAGACAGCATTAGACTGATTGAAGGAAGAAAGCTATGAAAACAGTTTCCTGAATTCCTATTATTTGGATGGCAGAAATAATCTATTTCTACACAATTACCTATTTAGATGACCCCACTTTATTCATAAGTAGAAAATCAAAATGGACCAGATCATCCAGAAAGGGAAAAACCAAAGCAAGAGCAAATGAACCTCTACCTCTTTTGGAAGCTGAATTTTCTCTTTGTCCAAAGCTAACAACACTACTTATAACATGTCTATTTCACTCGTAAACCTCTGCATATCCTTCTGTCATTCTTCACTTAGATACACTTTGGATGCTCTGTGACTATTTGGTGGAGAAGAATTCCCATTTTTCAAACGGGTTCCACACTTTCATCATCACTAGCACGGCAATTACCTGCATGCAGTAGCTTCTGGAACCAGTCCTGTATTGGTTTGCTTTTCTTATCAGTATCTTTCATGACAGCAGGAGTACCGTGACTTTGTATTTGAATTATGTGTTTCATCTTACCGGAGCAGACAAGCCACAGACTAGCCTGATGTGTCTGTCCAATGTCTAATTTCCGATTCGTGGGATTTTGCCTCATATTGTCTGAGATTTGCATATCAAAGTCTTGGTCATCTTTCACTTCAAATGTAACTACCTGGTCCCCTACTTTTTTATTTTCTGCATCATTATAAAAACTCTCCTCATTTTTGATAAACACATGTTCAATATCTAGTTTATCACTTTCAAGGTCTATTTTATTTTCACTGAAACAAAGCTTGGAAGATGACTGACAAGCGTATCCTGTGGACCCATAGTTCATGCGACGAAAAACCATTTTCGAGACTGGGTTCTTTTTGTTCAGGACATACTTAGAATACTAGAGAGACAGATACTCCAAATGCCTCTTTCTCCCCACAATCAGGTATATTATTTGTCATGTTAGGAGGTATTTCCTTTCTGTTTGCTCCTTCTTTAAGGTGATCATATAGTGGCTCCTCCTTAGGACAGATGATAATTTTGTATTTCTCACAAACTTCACCTAACTTCTGCTTTAAGTCATTTGTGATGGTTTTAACTTCTCTTTCTAATTTGCCTTGTTTGATCCACATTTTCTCATACTTCTCCACACAAGGAGGCCTTGAACATACAGATCTGTCCTGTCTACCACATTCCTTATTCATTTCTGGTTCTTGAGGCAATTTTTGCAGCTGCAAAAGTGGAAGATTAATTGGGTTGATTTGATTTTCAGGAGTCTTTTCTGTCAGGGTACATGTGTGCAAAATAATAGAATCCTTAAGTAATCCAGTATGGATAAATAAAAACCAGAAAATCATTAAAATTTCACTGTTAAACTTCTTAATTTATATGTAACTATGCACAAATCACCAGATCACAACTAAGAAGTGAAAAATAACTTGCCTTACCGGAAAATAGGAGAAAAACATTAACCCACAAACCCAATTTTGTCACTGCTTGATTGAATTAAACAATTCATACATGTTAAATCTACCAAAAATGAATTAGATGATTTTTAATGTTATACATGCTTCTTCCCTTAAAAATAGTTCACCTCACGATACCATATATGCAGAGTCCCTACAGCATGTCTGTTAAGGGTTTTGGTTTTCTTTTTTAAGGACTAATGTCTGGAGAACAGACAAACTTTATATGACCAGGAGCCAAAGTCAATGAACACTAATCAGAAAGAGGAACCAATTCCTAATTTTTCATGTAAATTATATATTATGATAGTGCTATACATCAATACATATTGCCTGCTTACATTCAGTTATGTGTGTGCTAAGTCGTGTCTGACTCGTTGCGACCCCAAGGACTGTAGTCCACCAGGCTCCTCTGTCCATGGGGATTCTCCAAGCAAGAAGACTTCAGTGGGTTGCCACACCCTCCTCAACCCATGCCTTCCCAACCCAGGGATCGAACCCAGGTCTCCCACATTGTAGGTGGATACTTTACTGTCTGAGCCGCCAGGGAAGCCCGACAATACTGGAGTGGGTACCCTATCCCTTCTCCAGGGAAATTTCTCGACCCAGGAATTGAAACGGGGTCTCCTGCACTGCAGGCAGATTCTTTACCAGATGAGCTACCTGGGAAGCCCCGACATTCAGTTATATTATGTTCTAATATCCGCCAAAGAAAGTGGATAAAGCATTTTTAGTAATATCTACTGATTCCCACCCCGAAATGAAATATTAGAACGTTATTATTTGTACCCTAAAAACAAAAGTCCAATCTAGAAGTTTCGATTCTCTTAATAGGCAACTGGGTTGATTCTATGACCCCACTCTCTCCCTGAATGTTCATCCCTAAGTCAATTATGCCGAGATCACAGGCAGAATGAATCTTGCATCTTGACGTCAGTGAGCGGTGATTTCAATGGAAAACCTTGAGCCACTGGGAATGATTTCTCTTTACATGTATCTAGGTCAGGGGCCGTCATATTGTTCATAATTTCAACTGCTTAATCTTACGATTCAGTCTTTGATATCACCTTCTTATGCATGTAATGAAGTTATAAAAATGGAAGAAGTAAACAAGTCAGGAAATTTTTTCCCCTCAATTCCAAAGATGAGCTATAAATTATAATAGATTCTAACAGTACTTTAAGTTGTAAAATTAAAGTGCTATAAAAACTAATAAATTATGAAACTATTAAATTAAATTATTATATTAAGTAATATAAAAACTACTAAATTAAAAAATTAAAATTATTAAATTATTACCTATCATTTCTAAAAGGGTAATTTTGAAAGGTGATTTTATTTGTTATGGACTCTGTTACACACTGTATTGTGTTGGTAAAGCATAGAAAATGGTATTAAACCAGAAATTTAAACTTATAGTTTTCCTTACCTGTGAATGGTTATTTTCATTTCCATGAAGTTTTTCTTGTTCTTCCATGTCTAGTTCTCCTGACAAATCTGCATGTTTAGTTAAAATTACTTAGAATATGTAGACAAAAAACGTAATGTTTACTTAAAACACAGATTTAAAGCATTGTACCAAATGACAGCTGAAGTCGAAATTTATCTTCAGATGAATATTTACTTGTTTAAGAAATACTTCCAATGATCAAAAACTTCAGCAAACCATTTGGGAAACACCAGATGTCACCAGGATACAGGCACACAAACACCTCAAAGATTCATTCATGAATTCACCCAAGCATCAGTGAAAAAAACAATCAGAAACCAAACAGAATTTCAAAATACAGGGCAGACATATAAAGTCACAGTATATTCTCTTCTCTACTTCATCACAGTACCTTTTAACAACATGCCAAGCTTCAACTACATTATTCTTCTTAGTTTACAAATTCCTCTTCCTTTTTATACTTTTATCAATTCCTTCATCTGAAATGCTTCCCTGGGCTCTTCTGACAATTTACTTTTCATCTTTTAAGACTCAACCGGCTTTGTGGCGTTGCCCTTGATTACAGCTTTCTTTCCCCAGATAAATAGGTCTCTCTTTCCTTGTAGCTACCTTAGTACTTTATAGACTTTTCTAGTGTTTCTTTATAGACTTCTCCAGTGATAGATATACATCTAAACTGTGAATTATTTCTTCACATGTCTATCCTCTTGGCTTCTAGACTGCAGAGGACAAGCTGTTAAAAATCACCTTAGGATAAATAGTCTTTTTTTTTTTTTTCAATAATTACTTGTCTACCTAGATCTCACAAAGAGTCCCAGAGTTCTAAATATAATCCTGCTATCCACTCTCAGATATATGCTAAATACTAGCCTAAACAAACTTGCTTCCTCCAAACTCTCTTTGTTATTTATTATACTCCTATGGTCACAGGGAGAATGCAGACACCTTGCCAAGAGGTACTGTTTGGCTGTAGGTTGCATAAAAGGAGTCAGCACAGGCAGGTTTTGCCACAAAACCGAATCCGGATCCGTCAGAATGATGGTAAGGCTGTGCCCAGGTGGCGCACGGCTGAGTGCCCTGGGCTTCTGCATTACCTTGTTTGCTTTCCCTGTTTTCTGGCAGCGGAGACTGGCCCGGGTGATGGGGCATGGAATTCCCTACCAGAAACATCGCTGCATTTTTCATCTTTTCTTTATCTGTTGCGGTCTTCTGTCCGAGTTCTGTGGGTGCTGACTGACTTTTGGTCACCAGTTGGGACACCAACGGACGCTGATCATCAACTTTCAAATGCCTGGCTCTTTGACAAGTCTCACTATTGAGGCTCAAAGTAGTCGAATCCCAGTCTGAAAAATGTGAAAACAAACTCTTCATTTATCAGAATCTGAGTAAGAACACAACTCTGACTACCTCGTACAAAGTCTTTCTTCAGAGAATCAGTTCCACGTCCTTCTTCCCCTCAAACTCACTACACTTCAGAGGTGACTCTATCTTACATGTCACTGTCATTCATTTAGAGATGGTAACTAGCATGTCTCATTTCTTCTACTTTTCAATTTTCTAGCATTACTTTGATTCACTCAATCTTTATTATATACTCTGTATTTCATAAGAACTTTATTACTATTTTCCGTCAACATACAAATGTTTTAGTAACAAAATTTATCTCTAATTTATTTTACATTTAATTTTGCATGATGATATTGTGTGTTCTAGAGACCACGGTTTTAGAAACACTTTCAATGAATGGTACTACTTTAATTAACGATAGAAACCTAGACAACATATTAAAAAGCAAAGACATCACTTTGCTGACAAAGGTCCGTACAGTCAAAGGTCTGGTTTTTTTCAGTAGTCACGTGTGAGAGTTGGACCATAAAGAAGACTGAGTGCCGATGAATTGATGCTTTCAAATTGTGGTGCTGGAGAGACTCTTTAGAGAACGCTGGACAGCAAAGAGATCAAACCAGTCAATCCTAAGGGAGATCAATCCTGAATATTCATTGGAAGGACGGATGCTGAAGCTAAAGCTTCAATGCTTTGCACACCTGATGCGAACAGCTGGCTCACTAGAAATGCACCTGATCCTGGGAAAGACTGAGGGCAGGACGAGAAGAGAAGGGCAAGAAGAGAAGGGGGAGGCAGAGGATGAGATGGTTGGACAGCATCGCTGATTCAATGGACATGAACTTGGGCGAACTCCGGGAGATGGTGAGGAACAGAGAGGCCTGGCTGCAGTCCATGGGGTCACAAAGAGTCGGGCACAACTTAGGAACTGAACACCACCACCATCAACAACTACTTTAATTTCAATGAGATGGTCTTTCCTCAATGTACATATATCTTCAGAACTCATTTTTAAAGCCTTGGAGAAACATCATACACTGGAGAAGGAAATGGCAACCCACTCCAGTACGCTTGCCTCTTGCCTGGAAAATCTCTTGGACAGAGGATCCTGGCGGGCTACAGTCCATGAGGTCGCAGTGGTTGAACTCGACTTAGCGACTAAACAAAAACACCATAAACTTATATAAGAAATGATAGCCTTGTGTGTGACTAATTGTTTCCATGTGAAAATAGGTAAGTCTAGGACCACACTGGATCCAAAGAGCACAGAGGACCATGAGACAGGAATGAATACACCTCAAAAAACTAAAACTGTTAGATCTGAATTTCTTGAGAGAAGTCAAAGAAACAAGTAAGAAATGTAAATGTGAAACTTAAAACCCTGTGTCATCACAAGGGCCCCTTTATCAATTTATATCCAGCCACTTCAATGGTTTAAAACAGTGGTTCTCAAGTGTCCCCTCAGAATCGCTGAAGTCCAGAGACCCAACGGGTCAGGGGGTCCAAGAGGTCAGAACTCTTTTCACAACAACACTAAACGTTACCTCCATTCTCATGCTGTTCTGCGGGCAGAGTGGCATTCTTCAGAGACACGATATGGGATATCATAACACTAAGGACTAATGGAATTAGCAACTATGATGGTGTGTGCTTGTATTTTAAGTTTTTCTATTTTCCAATACAGTGAAAAACAATGAACAAAGTTCCTTGGAATTCTCAATAATTTTTTGAAGTATAAAAGGATCCTAAAGCCAAAAACTTTCAGAATCACTGTTTTGAAAGATTATGTCTATCGAATCTAAGGTATGATTACTTCTCTTACTTCTAATAATCAAAGACAACACAAACACACACACACACAGTCTGCTAATCAAAACATCCCATTGGCCTACATTCATCTGTGTAAGAACACTAAAATGAAATAAGTATAAGCTGAAATACAACTGACATATTAGCAAGTGAAGCTTTACTCTAGGGAAAGGTCAGAGTTCAGATACACATTTTTGGACACTGGAAAAATCTTAGGGTCTAATAATTAATCTCTGAGAATTGCTGAGACTATAGAGATTCCAAACTGAGAATTTAATGCATAATGAAACATATACAGAAACATCTTGAGTTCAAGCTTACATGTTAAACATTTCTTGTTCATATGCTTGTGAATATCTTTTCTTCTAAAACATGGATACCAACAGTAACATTTGCCTTATGTTTGCCCAATTCTTCAATTAAATTTGCAAAAAGAAGTTAGGAGTACAAAGAGCTAGCATTTCAAACATTTCAGTGTCCCTCTTTCCTGAAGGGACTTCGGTAAAGCATCAGCTTGCAATGCAGGAACCAGAGTTAAGTGTGTATTGCAAAATTTACCTGAATTAGATGTCTGTGCATCCTTTATTCTGACTGCTTTATTAGGAACAGAATCTTTCACTCCAACGGCCTGCTGAATGGGTTTGGAAACAAGTTGATTAATAAACAATGTACATATGATACAATCCACAGTTCATAATTCAAGATAAAACATAAACGTTTTTACCTTCACATTAGGATATTTCTCAGGAGACTCTAAAAGGCAAAAGGGACATAGAGTTAATTACATGTAAATATGAAAGCCAGCTGTATATTCATGCAGACTTATTACCGAGCAGAATCCTCATGCTCTGCCTTGGCACTGAATACATTCAGCTTTAGAGTCTTGTTTTTAGGGGGATCTTAGGACACTGGTAAGACAGACATATGAATCCACTAAAGATAGTGAAGAAAATAATAGTAATACAGGTTCACCGAAATGTGCAGTTAAGATTTCAAAAGTAACATTACATTTTCAATGGCTTTATAAAACATTAATGTGCACACAGACCAATGTGAACATGCTGACTGATGAGGAGAAAATGGATCTTAATCAGAGGAGGAAGTCATGAACCCAAGAAGATAAATGTGAAAGCTGATGGTAAAATGCAACAGCATATCTTGAATGAAACATGGAAGTTATCATTTACACCATTATATGATAAGTATTTATCATGTTCTTCAATCTGTCCATTCATTTAAGAAGTGCACAGTTGGGATGACAGTTCACCAGAATGTATAATTCATTTCTCATCAAAGACAGGGTAATGGACTGATTAGCCTGGATATACACTTGTGGAAAAATGGCTCATAAAAATACTCGTGTTTTTTTCCATATCCATGTGGGCTACTGGCATGCCTACATGTCTTGGCTCTTCTAGTTTAGCCATCTTAAAGTTTCTCGATCCACTCATGCACGAAAGTATACAAGACACATCTAGGAAATAATGTATAATCAATTCTCAATATTCAAATACAATTATCAAAAAGGAAATAATACATTGAATTGCCACAGAATTATTAGAAATTAAAAATCTTGCATGTTTCAAAATCAGTGTATTATTTATTAAAAGTATTTCTAGCATTTAAGGAATGAACCCTATTAATCTGTTTGGCTTCAAAATTTAGTTTGGTTTGGTACATCATGGTAATGCTTCAAAGGATTTCTATGAAACAACTTTCAAAAAATCAGCTATCTTTTTAAAAAAAGAATTCAATGCCGTCATTTTCAAATTAATCTAATTAGAATAACAAATACCGGTACAACATATACCTCTGATGACTAAGAGTTACTCGGAGGGGCTGCCGATTCCCCCACTTCTAGCACCCCCTCCCACCTCCAGGATTCTCTGGAGCAATAATGATCTTATCTCTTTTCAGGGTAAATACACTGAAGTCATCTAGAAGGAGCGCTCTCAAGTGTCCCCATCAACTCCAAACTCACCTCCCTAAGGCCGTGCTTACCTCCCTTTGTCCTTTCACTAGATTCTCTCCTCTCTAAATGGTAATCTCTGGATCTGTGGACTCAAATCTTCCCCCTTGACATCCTTTCTATGGATCATCCCTACCATGTCTTTCTCCTTCTTTGCTTAGCAATGGTATCTTACACCTATAACTGCTACTTCAACTCTTTGCTTCCATCTGGCTATAAACACGCTCAGAAGGAAACACAAAATAACGCTTTTCCTTGATCCTGTTATGTCCTGCACTATCCAATGCTCTTCTTCCAGATTTCTCTAAAGGCAAGGCTACACCCTTGCTACTTGGACAGCTTGTTAGAAACAAAGACTCTCAGATCTCCTGCTCAGCATGTGCACTTCACACATGGTCCCCAAGTGACTAACTAAAACTTGAGAAACTGGTCTACACGGAGTCTGCTTCTACATGACTTCAACTTAATTCATGCTCCTGAAATCTCAGCCTCTGTTTCCTCACGCCAACACGTCCCCCGAAACTGAAATGGCATTAGAAGCTGGAAAGCTTCCAGTGGACTCTCTATGAGGCTGTGGGTTCCTTGGTCTCCCCATCACGCCCCCTGCTCTCTCCTTCTTTCCAGCTCTCTTGTTTTGTCCCATGTGATACCATCCTAGACAGCAGCAACATTTCATATGACATCAATTTGCACACGTTTACAGCTGAGCTCCTATGCCTGCACTCCACAGAAGATAAAACACAGCTCTGCATGCCTGGAGACGTCAGTTCTGAATGTCTTCCTAATAACGAGTACAACAGGAAGAGGGGGGAGAACTTTGCAGTTCTTCCCTGACAAGTTTTGGTGTCGGACGCTCACTTCAAATCCATCGTCCATGTCAAATACTCTCCCTTTATCTAAGGACCTTCATTACTTATTCCACCTTCCCCCACAGACCCGTGCTTCCTTTTGCTCATTTCCTCCCTGTACCCTCTGCCTCTCTCATCTTTCATTCTCTCTTGCCTCTTGTTTCTTCACCTTCCTGAGGGCGTAGAGTTATCTTGAAATAGAAGTAATAATTTCCTTTTGGTCACGTGTCACATGGGATCTTAGTTCCCTGACCAGGGAATGAAACTGCACCACCTGAATTGGAGAGTCTTAACTGGACAAAGTCTTAAAACACTGGACCGTGAAGTAAGTCTAAGAACGAATAATTTAGTTTCTTAAACTGGATTCTCAATGTAATCTGTGGTAGACACCTGATAAGATGCACGATTGCCCTCCTTTTCTCGTCTTTTTTCTCACTACCCATCTGACAGGTGATTTTCTTTGCCTATTAGAGTGTATCAGCATTCCCGTTTTCAATCAACATTCTGTCAAATGATTTTTCTGTAAAATAGAGTTCTTACCTTCTATTTGTTCATTTAATGTCTTTTTTTCTCTTTGACCAGCAGTTCCAGGCAAATGACCCACATACTTCTGTGGAAGGCTCTCAGAAACACTCTGCTAGAATGAATGATAACAATGGGTTGCATGAAGAGTTCCTAATCCCTTTTGAAGAAAGCACCCTACTTTTAACCCGGTTAAGACAGATTTTGCCAAGATCCCACAGTTGCTATGTGACAGAACCAGGATGCCGAATTCAAACACGGTTCTGCATCACCAAGCAGTGGTTGCCACATCTAAGAGATCAGCCCCTTCTTATCTCCTTCCATAGCTGCCACCTTCAAACAGGGCACCGTTACTTTATGTTACTTCAAGTACGGCTGCCATAAAGATACTCTGCACGTGCTATGTAAGCTATCCAAAATGCTTTGCACTTACTGAAACATCACTAAAGCTAACTGCTGTTATTATAACCCCACATATTCATTACTATTTCCCATGCTTTTGCTGCTCTTGAAATGTTCCCTGCAGATCAACTTGACAATCCAAATGTAGTAGTACCTTCAAGCTTCAAGCACTATCTTGTGGTAAAAAATCACAGTTGAAATGAAAATCAAAACTACAATGAGATACCACCTCACACCAGTCAGAATGGCCATCATCCAAAAGTCTGCTGTTGCTGCTGTTGCTTGGTCGCTTCAGTCGTGTCCGACTCTGTGCCACCCTATGGACTGAAGCCTGCCAGGCTCCCCTGTCCATTGGATTCTCCAGGCAAGAATACTGGAGTGGGTCGCCATGCCTTCCTTCCCAACACACGGATCAAACCCAGGTCTCCCACTGCAGGCCGATTCTTCACCACTCAGCCACAATGAGATACCACCTCACACCAGTCAGAATGGCCATCATCAAAAAGTCTACAAACAATGAATGGTGGAGAGGGTGTGGAGGCTGCTGGTGGGAAGGTAAATTGATACAACCACTATGGAAGATGCTATGCAGATTCCTTCAGAAACTGGAATAAAACCACCATATGACCCAGCAATCCCACTGCCAGGAGTATACCCTGAGGCAACCAAAGTGGAAAAGACACATCCACTCTGATTTTCATTGCAGTGCTATTTATGATAGCTAGAACATGGAAGCAACTTAGATGGCCATTGACAGATGAATGGATGAAGATGTGGTGGTACATATATACAAAGGAACATTACTCAGCTGTAAAAAGGAACGCATTTGAGTCAGTTCTAACGAGGTGGATGAACCTAGAGCCTATTATACATAGTGAGGTAAGTCAGAAAGACAAATATAAATATCATATACTAATGCAGATGTATGGAATCTAGAAAGAGAGTACTGATGAATTTATTTGCAGGGCAGCAATGGAGAAACAGACATAGAGAAAAGACTTACAGGCACGGGGGAAGGGAAGAGGGGAGAGGGTGAGATGGATGGAGAGAATAACATGGAAACTTACAATTCCATCTGTAAAATAGATAGCCAGTGGGAATTTGCTCTATCACTCAGGGAACTCAAGAGGGTCTCTGCAACAATCAAGAAGGGTGGGATGGAGAGGGAGATGCAGGGGGGTTTGGGAGGGAGTGGACGTGGCTGTACCTATGGCTGATTCTTGTTGGTGTCTGACAACAAGAAAACAACAAAATTCTGGGAAGCAATTATCCTTCAGTTAAGAATAAATGAATTTTTTACAACCCTATTTGAACATTCACATGGTTGACTGTTTCTTTCCCTGTAAACAGCACACTGACGACTCTTATTTCCTATCTATGTCTTCTGGATTCCAGGGAAAGATGAAAGGAATGATCTACATAAAAAAAAAAGGAGCAAAACGATGATTATCCAAGTTGAAGGTTTAAAAGTTTTCAAATACATTTATGATGATCAAGCAGGACTCAGTAATCACATCAGGAAAGAAAGAACAAACTAAAAAAATCAAGTAACCAAAATGACTAACTTTCTGATATGGAAGAATTTACATGTTAGTTTCACATGTATAACAAAGAATTGACATGGTAATTTAACATCTATAAACACTGAAATTAATAAAGTTCCTTAAAAAAAAATGGGGGGCGGTCTGAAGATGGCAGAGGAATAGGACGGGGAGACCACTTTCTCCCTCACAAATTCATCGAAAGATCATTTGAATGCTGAGCAAACTCCAGAAAACAACTTCTGAATGCTGGCAGAGACCATCAGACACCCAGAGAGTCAGCCCATTGCCTTCGAAAGGAGGTAGGACAAAATATAAAAGATAAAAAGAGAGGCAAAAGAGGTAGGGATGGAGATCCATCCCAGGAAGGGAGTCGTAAAAGAGGAGAAGTTTCCAAACACCAGGAAACACTCTCACCGGCGGGTCTGTGGGGAGACTTGGAATGTCAGAGGGCCATGTAACAAGGAGGAAAAATAAATAAATAAATAAACCCCACAGATTATGTGCCTAACGGCAACTCCCAGTGCTCGCATCCGCCACCAGCAAGGGGGGGCTGCATTGCTTATGTTGAGGACCAGGCCTGAATGCCCTGAGGGCAATCTGAGGGAACTAACATGAGATAGCAACCTAAACTGTAGGACAGCCAGAGAGAGAGAGGGACAAAAGAGAGAGAGAGAACTACCCCGCAAAAAGCCCTAAACTAAGGCACTGCCAGGCCCGCCCACAGAACAAAGGACTGAGTGAATACCAGAGGAGAGCTAGCCCACTGCAGACCACCTCATGCCCCACCGGAGGCAGGGAGGCAGGAGGCGGGCAGCCAGAGCTGGAAAGAGGCAAACTCGGCCCCAGAGAGGCATCCTCTACCAAACTGCAAGCACACACCCTGTCACTAACCAAAACTTCTTGGGATTCTGGATGGTTGACATCCGCTTGGAGGGTCCCAGCCAGAGATCAGTTCCCCAGAAGAGACGCATGGCACACCAGAGATGGCCACGCCCATTGCCACCCAGTAAACTCAGTGGCTGGGACCCGGGAGGTGATAAGACGCAGCCCCCACCTGGGGAGATGACGCTCGCCAAGCAGCTGGTCACCTGAGCTGCTCAGACCTGGGAGGGGCACAAAACGCAGGCCCAACCCGAGTCTGCACCTTTGTGGAGTACACGAGAACCTGAACCTGAGTGGCTTAGACCTGGGAAGTGCACACAATCCAGGGCCCGCCTCAGACAGTTTCCCCGCAGAGCAACCTAGAGCCTGAGAAGTGTACACTGGGAAAGTGCACACGCCATGAGCGGGGGCAAACCCAGTGCGGCCGAGACACTGTGCGCACTCCCCACACACGCCGGTGATATTGCTTGCAGTGTTCCTCCATCCCCACAGCAGGGCTGAACAGGTGAGCTTAAGTAAGTGACCACCTTCGCCCCTTGTGTCTGGACAGAAGTTAGACACTTGAAGAGACCAGCAAACAGAAGAAGCAAAATCAAACAGAGGGAACCACTTTGGAAATGACAGGTGCAAAAGATTAAAACCCTGAAGTTAGCAGCGACTATGTTGGAAGGGGCCAATAGATCTTGAGAGGTATAAGCTGGATCAAGGAACTATCTGAAATTGAACTGAACCCACAATGCCCGCAACAGCTACAGAGAAATTCCTAGATCTATTTGTATTATTATCATGTTTAAATTTTTTTTTAATTTTTAAGTCCTCTATTACTCCTTTAATTTTCATTTTTACAACCTACTATTACCTTGCAAAAAAAAAAAAGGACCCTATTTGAAAAGCAAACTTCATATATATAGTTTATAATTTTTTGTGACTTTGTTTTCTTTTCTTAATATTGTGTTTTTGAGAGTCTAACCTCTACTCTAGATTTTTAATCTTTGCTTTTTGGCATTTGTTATCAATTTTGTACCTTTAAGAACTCAATCTGCAGTACTCATTTTTACTTGGGAGTGTGATTACTGGCTTGATTGCTCTCTCCCCCTTTTGACTCTCCTTGTCTCCACAAGGTCACCTCTATCTCCGCCCTCTCTTTTCTCTTCTCTACCCAACTCTGTGAATCTCTATGTGTATTCTGGGCTGTGCAGAACACTTAGGGAACTGATTACTGGCTGGATCTGTCTGTCTCCTTTTGATTCCCCCTTTTATCCTCCTGGCCACCTCTGTCTCCTTCCTCCCTCTTCTCTTATCTGGGCAACTACGTGAACCTCTCTGAGGGGTCCAGACTGTGGAGAGCACATAGGGAAGTGATTACTGGCTAGCTTGCTCTCTCCCCTTTTGATTCCCCCTCTTCGCCTCCTGGTCACCTCTATATCGCTCCTCCCTCTTCTCTTCTCCAAGTAACTCTGTGAACCTCTCTGGGGATCCCTCAGTGTGGAGAAACTTTTCATCATTAACCTAGACATTTTATCATCAGTGCTATATAGATGGAGAAGTTTGGAGGCTACTGTAAGAATAAGACTGAAAACCAGAGGCAGGAGGCGTAAGTCCAAAACCTGAGAACACCAGAGAACCCCTGACTCCTGGGAACATTAATCCAAAAGCCTCATCCAAAACCCTCCATACCTACACTGAAACCAAGCACCACCCAAAAGCCAACAAGTTCCAGAGCAAAACATACCACGCAAATTCTCCAGCAACGCAGGAACATATCCCTGAGCTTCAATATACAGGCTGTCCAAAGGCACACCAAACCCATAGACATCTCAAAACTCACTACTGGACACTTCATTGCACTTCAGAGAGAAGAGATCCAGCTCCCCCCATCAGAACACCAACGCAAGCTTCCCGAACCAGGAAACCTTGACAAGCCACCTGTCCAACCCCACCCACAGTGAGGAACCCCCACAATAAAGAGGAACCACAAACTGCCAGAATACAGAAAGGCCACCCCAAACACAGCAATCTAAACAAGAGGAAAAGGCAGAGAAATACTGAGCAGGTAAAGGAACAGGATAGATGCCCACCAAACCAAAGAGGAGGAGATAGGGAAGTACCCGAAAAAGAATTCTGAAGAATGATAGTGAAAATGATCCAACATCTTGAAAACAAAACGGAGTTACAGATAAATAGCCTGGAGACAAGGATTGAGAAGATGCAAGAAATGTTTAGCAAGAACCTAGAAGAAATACAAAAGAGTCAATCAATAATGAATAATGCAATAAATGAGATCAAA